ACTGTATGTAATTTTAAAAAGCCGAATTCTTCATCCGAATGCACGAATGGCTCATTCTTTCGGTGCGCCTTCTTTCTTTCTGCTTATGCACTCCCATCACATCTGATGGGAGTAAGTCGAACTAATGAATGGCTACTGAATGAATGAGCCATTCATTTGGATTACTTGTTTGGCCTTTTGAATTACAGACAGGCAGTGTACTGTCTGTTACTGTATGCATTACAAAATTCCGAATTAGTCACCTGATTTCATGAATGGCTCTAATGCTCTGTGGTCATTCGTTAGTTCTGCTCACTCTCATATATTTATTATTACAGGTATGATGGGAGTGAGCCAAACATCTGTTCATGCAAGAACTAATAAGCCTTTTGTGCATTCAGGTGAAGCATTCGGTCTCTGTCAGTACATTTATTTAGCATAAGGACATGGGATGGGACAGTGAGCCGAATGAACGACTTGGCTCTCCAAAACAAAAATAATGTTCGAATTGTGTCTGAAATTTGGTTATGACTAAACACATTTTTATTTTGTCTAAATGCATTTGGATGAAACAAGAATATCTCCAAAGTGCACAGTAGTTAGTAGTAGCTAGTAGTTTCCCTTCTGAAAAGAAAAAAGCAAGATAGAAGTTCCAGTGGTATTGTATTTTATTAGTAAAGCGATGCTCCATAATTGGCCATAAGGCCCTTATGGCTTGGAAATTAATCCTGAACACATTGTATATAGAAAAGGAAAAGCAGGGAAGCAGTACCTTCAGGAATGTTGGTGCTGCTTCACTGCATTTCCTTTTCTATCCACACCCTTTCCAGAAAGAAGAGGCTCTGGGTTAGGAAGTTCCTGCTGCCAACACGTATAAGAAACAAGTGCGAGAAATTCTAATTTGTATCTATTTCAAACACATTGTATATGCCCTTAAACCTCTGATAGCATTATCATTGCTGTAATCATATGAAATAAAACTGTCAAACAATAATGCCTTGTAATAACAATAAACAGAAATCTCATATAATGAGTATAGAAGACTGAATATTAAAGTCCAATATTAGTCCATTCAAATCCCTTCCGGGTATTTTCTTCAGTGTGATGGCTCCAATACCAAAATAGATATATGAAAAATGCAGAGAAAAAAGTGAGTTAGTAACTTCTATTTCAGTGCATCAAAAAAAAAAAACAATCCAAATATATCGGAAATATAAGATCCTAGCTGTAAGCTAGACTTCGGTATTTCCTTAAAAGATTCAGAATAAAACAATTTCCAAATAAAATTCGGAGTAGTAATAATCAGACTACATTAGTGTATGTCTGCAAACTGGTACATAAAGTGCATATGGGGTGCAGACCTTGTGTTGCACGCGGCGTCCCGGATCAGCAACTTAGGTATTGCTCTGATGTATAAAGTGCAGATGAATATCTCCCAAATGCCACCTTTCAGTAGTCAGTGGTCAGTCCCTCCAAACGCGTTTCTCCGTCAGCACGGCTTTATCAATGGATGCAGACTGTTAGACAATACCCGCTTATATAGCGGTTTGTTCCTCTCGTTTCACACATATCAAAAAACAACACAATGTATCTAACTCTTACATAGTGTTCATATAAAAAAACAACACAATGTATCTAACTCTTACATAGTGTTCATATCAAAAAACAACACAATGTATCTAACTCTTACATAGTGTTTTTTTTTTAAAAGAAAAAGAAAAAACTGAAATAAGCACATCACAACAAAATCTATTCCCACCCATTATTCTGGATTACAGCAAAGAAAATGTACAACTAAGAAGAATTCTGAGAAAGCACTGGCACTTGCTTAAGAAGGATAAATTATTAGCCAGTACGATACCGGAGAAACCTAGGATTATTTTTAGGGGAGTTAGGAATATAAAAAATAAATTAACAAACAATCATCTAAAAATGAACAAGAAGGAAGAACCGAGACTGAAAAAGAAAGGTTTCTTCTATTGTAATGAGTGTATTGCTTGTAAAACCAGTAAGGACACCTCAACAAAAGGAATACATGAGATTTCAAGCAGAAAACTAAATAATAGTAATGAAGTATTTAAAATTCGGGATTTCATTACGTGTCAAAGTGTCAATATAATCTACGTGCTGGAATGCCCATGTGGACTCCAGTATGTAGGTAGAACCAAAAGACAGTTATATATAAGAATTAGAGAACATATGTTAAATATTAAAAAGAAATTCAGGCAACATACGGTATCGGCTCATTTTGCACAATATCATGGAGCAGATATGAGTCTCTTGAAATTTAAAGCCATATGTAAAGTAAGGAAACATTGGAGAGGTGGAGATCATACCAAACAGCTGGGTATACAAGAAATGAAATGGATATACAATTTAAACACATTACAACCAAATGGCTTAAATGCAGAATTCGAATTGTGCCATTTTTTGGGATGAATAATTATGGATACGAATTCACTCCTCCTTATACAATAGCATTTAAGTATTTATTAATGATATCGGTGTCTTTTAGGGGATACATAAATATACAATTTCATGATTGAATATTCTTTCTCCTTTTTTTTTTATTTTTTTTTTTTACTTCTATTAATATTTTAAATTGTTTAGACTTACAGCAAACTTATGTGCACTTTTCCCCATGATTTTATTGTAAGAATTTTCTTTTTATATAGTTTATTCTGTATTTTTATATTTGTTCAGTCAATATGTATGTACCTTTAATTGGGACATAACATAAGACAGATTATTGTTTTCTGTCATTTTTCAGGGGTACTAATCATTAGGATACTAGTACTATTTTTAGATATCTGTATTTGGTTAGGTCAACTATCCGCTGGGAGAAGGATTTATATTATGAAATAAGGTAATTATTCTAACAAATTCATTTGTGGAATACAATTAAAAGATAATAACCCAATTGAATGACAGTTACGTTCAAATTTAAATCCAGCGGGAGTAACTATGGTTACATTTGTGAACACAGAATGTAACATTATATAAAGACTTTCTTATAAATGATAGTTTTAATATATGTTAGAAATTGAAACATTGTAAAAGTGAACACTATGTAAGAGTTAGATACATTGTGTTGTTTTTTGATATGTGTGAAACGAGAAGAACAAACCGCTATATAAGCGGGTATTGTCTAACAGTCTGCATCCATTGATAAAGCTGTGCTGACGGAGAAACGCGTTTGGAGGGACTGACCACTGACTACTGAAAGGTGGCATTTGGGAGATATTCATCTGCACTTTATACATCAGAGCAATACCTAAGTTGCTGATCCGGGACGCCGCGTGCAACACAAGGTCTGCACCCCATATGCACTTTATGTACCAGTTTGCAGACATACACTAATGTAGTCTGATTATTACTACTCCGAATTTTATTTGGAAATTGTTTTATTCTGAATCTTTTAAGGAAATACCGAAGTCTAGCTTACAGCTAGGATCTTAATAAAGCCAGTTTTTATTTCCGATATATTTGGATTGGTTTTTTTTTGATGCACTGAAATAGAAGTTACTAACTCACTTTTTTCTCTGCATTTTTCATATATCTATTTTGGTATTGGAGCCATCACACTGAAGAAAATACCCGGAAGGGATTTGAATGGACTAATATTGGACTTTAATATTCAGTCTTCTATACTCATTATATGAGATTTCTGTTTATTGTTATTACAAGGCATTATTGTTTGACAGTTTTATTTCATATGATTACAGCAATGATAATGCTATCAGAGGTTTAAGGGTATAGTTTTTCTATTTGTGCATATCTTATCTTAATAGGTCGTTAGGTTTCCTATTTTATACCCTCCTCTAAATCATATCTATTTATTCAGCGCTCCACTTTCTTAATATATTTGTTATACATTGTATATGCCTTCAAACTGTCCTTCATTGTACAAATACCCATTGTTCTTGCTTGAAGCATAATAACCACTTTAGTAGAGTAATCCGAAATACAAGTCTCTCAATAGGGAAGTTGCAAGGTGTTTGGGGTGCCAAGCCCTATGTGCCTAATGAAAATAATAAACAAAAAATGTGGTTGAAAAGAGAGAGAATTTGTTTAATTTCTTCATCATGATATTATATTGCTGTGATTCTTAAGGTTTTTGTTTTATATCTGAAAGCAATGATCCCATATGTTGTGTGTGAGACTGAGCCATATTCACAATGGTGTCCAGAGATTTTGTTTACTGCAGAGGCATCTGCAATGCTTACTCAACCTCTAGTGTGGTAATGTAATGGAAGCTACTCCATCTTTGAATGACAGCCTTATAGAACTGCCATGTCTCTCCCATGTCAACTAATGCCAATTAAAGAGAGACAATATAGCTTGTGGAGTAGCCTGGAGGCCAGTCTCCTTCCTATATGTAACCTCTGTTAAGACTAAAAGCTAACTCAGTGGATACTAGATGTAACCGCATTGTATACTAGGTGTAACAGCAATGACTTCATGTTGGTTTCTAAATGTGTGATTGGACTTGTTTAATATATTGAGTGTCTAGTTTGTGTTTTCCCTTTCTTTCCCATCACTGCCTTATTGTTTTGTTTTTTTATAGCTGGACATTCGTCCAGGCGAGGGCTCCCAGACAAGTTTAAACTGGCTGCTCTGACTCTCATATTCTTACAAAGAGTATCACTGTTGTTCACCATTACTTTGTAAAAACAGACCTATATTGAACTTTCCTGAGATGTATAATACAATGAACATCTAAACATGTTAATGTTTTATATTCATTAATAAATAGAGACATATTCTTTTGATAAAGTATTATTCTTACCATCATTGTTCTGCAAGTGTCATTGCTCTCATTGTTTTTCCCCCCATTTACCTGACCAGACTTATTTTAGTGCAACCAGTGCAGTTTGGAGGAAATAAAAGTAGGGAACACATTAAATCCTAGGAAATCTTTTTAATTGTATTCATTAATTTATTGACGTATTGTTTACTGATCAATGGAAAACATCAAATTAATGACAAAACCTAATAATATTTGTGAGATCAGACTGAATATTGTGATTCCTAAGTCCAGCAGCCTTTGATCCAGTTAGACAGCAGCAGGCACCATGCAAGAGGTGAGGAGGGGACTTGTAATAGGCAGGGTGGCATCCTCAAGCGGGCATGTGTCTGTAGGCAGGTGCCCAGTCTGTCTCCAGGGAATTCCAGCCCTGGATGTATGTTGGTAGATAAGTAAATCAGTTAATCAGCCTGCATCTTACAACAATATAACATTTTCTTAATCATTCTCATCGATTGATCCGTTTTACATTCTTTTCACTTCAATTTTTTTTTTTTGAAACAGTTGATATTTTTTATTATGAAATTTTAGACCAAAATAGGTTGTAACTATTTCTCAATTTAAACGTTTTGACTTCAAGTTTGCAGTTTGTTTTTCTAAACCGCACAATTCACTCTCTATGAAATAATTCCCTTGTTCATTAAGATTCTGGAAACATTTTGCAAGATTGCTATTGTTTTTTTTTTTTTTCTGGTAGCTATTATCACAATAATATGACTGGATGTTGCTTACTGCATTCTACGTTTTTGTATTATATGAGTACAACATGAACGTGAGTTGAATGAAAGAAAATAAAATGATTGCAAGCCCTGATTCTTTTTTTAAATTCCCCAAACATTCTATTTAGTTATTTCCAGCCTATCATTATGTTGCAGCATTAAAAGACAATTGGTCATGTAAAAAAGTCATTTGAGATGTGCTCTAATACAACACACTGAAATTTATACAAGTGCGAAGCAGTTATCGAGTATGAGACAGCTGTTCAGATAATAGAAACAGACATGTATAGCAAAGTGATGAGCACATAATGATCTAAAAGGACAGAAACACTTCATTTACAATAAGGTCTAGTTCTCTTCATTGATACAATTGTCCTTGCTGTGCTATGTTATTAATGTCTATATGAATGTTTATTTTCTTTCCATGGAGTGTACTGTTTAGATGTTCACTGAAGAGTGTTGCGCACTTTAAGTAAGAAACAGCATCACAATTTTGCAAATCCTAATCAGCATTAAAGATGCGTTTTCTTTATTCTTCTAAAAATGTCCTGCTTTGCATTGTGTTTTATTTTTTTTAATCTTGCTTTCTTTCATTTTAGCTAGCCAAATTCATTGTCAGTGGTTGAAGATAATACTTCCAGCTACTGATTGGAGCCAAACTATCGGCGAAGTATAAATGCATACAGGAGTGAACACTAGGTTTGAAGTGGTGTTCAGAATGGAGACATAAAATGTCATTCACTATTTAAACAAGTAGTAGAGTGTTGCACACCAGTATCAGTAGCACCACAGTTCTATGGTAGAGGTCCGCTAACCTCCAAATATTATCCACAAGTGAAGGCCCAAAGGCTGCACAGTGTAGGGTGAACCAGATAGTTTTATTATGGAATACAGGACAAAACAAGGAAGCAATGTTTTGGCTGTGAGGCCTTAAAGGAACACTATAGCGTTAGGAATTCAAATATGTATTCCTAACGCTATAGAGCCCTAGTCACCTGAACAGTGACTAGGGCCCCTTCTGTGGCAGGTAAATGGTTAATTAACCATTTATTTGCTTACCTTAATCCAGCGCCGGGCTCCTTCATCAACTTCAGCTCCCGAGTGGAGCTGAATGTGCATGCCCGGCCAGAGGCGCACGCGCATTCAAATCCACCCATAGGAAAGCATTACCCAATGCTTTCCTATGGGGATCTTTTTTGACACTGGAGGTCCGTGAGGACGTCCAACGTCAAATAGGTGTGATTTACTCTGTGTAAATCGCGGAAGCGCCTCTAGTGGTTGTCAGGGAGACAACCACTAGAGGCTGGACTAACCCTGCAGTATAAACATAGCAGTTTCTCTGAAACTGCTATGTTTTCAGCTGCAGGGTTAAAACTAGGGGGACCTGGCACCCAGACCACTTCATTGAGCTGAAGTTGTCTAGGTGCCTATAGTGGTCCTTTTATTGCATATACTTGAACGCTAAATCCTTGTTTTGACCTGTATTCCACAATAGAACTATCTGGTTCACCCTATGCTGTGCAGCCTGTGGCTCTTCCCTTTTGTGATTTACTATTTGTTATTCAAGAGGTCAAGGCATAGTAACACAAAGACAAGTCCATATACAGAACAGGGGTTCCCCACAATTGTGGTGCATTACTTTTATTAAATCTGCATTCTTGTATTTCTTTAGACGATGCCAAGCAGGATCCCTATTTCAGCCCTTGCACAAGCTGGGAGCCTGGGACACAAAAATAAAACTAGTTTAGTTTGAAAGCAGCAGTGCACTAATCACAAGGGATTTATATATATATTCACTGGTAATCAAAAGGTTGGAGGTGCATTAACACTCTTTTGTTCCACCAGTGAGGCTGAAGTGCAAGTGAATGATACAATAACAGTTCTGCAAAGTAATGACACTATATCTTAACTCTGTATCATAGATCTCTCATGCATGCATGCTCCAGGTGAACATCACAGATCTCCAACTACATGTATTGTACCACCAGGCATTACATCAACATGTCCTTTCCAGGGGAAAAGGTTGGCAAACTGAGGAAGAGCTATAATAAAAATAAAGAAAGAGTCTGTCAAGTGAAAGTGACGCTAAGAACAATCCATCTATTATATTTTTAATTGCAACTTCATATTGAAAGGGAGCTTTCTCTAGTCAAAATGGTAACCCTTGCTTGTTGTATTTGCTCTTACACCAACTTTTTTGTTTGTCCTTTCCCATATGTACATTGTATGAAAATAGTTGGATGTCATAAAATACAGATGTTTCCCTAAAGCATATGCTTTTACCCTCATAGGATACAACCAAGGTAATTTTTCACAATTTGCCAACATATTTGATTAGTTGTATATACAAAAAATAGGGGATGATCTGCTAAGCCAATAACAAACAGGAAAACATAGCGTATAACTGTGTATATGAATCAACCACAAGTGTTGTGTTCTCAAATGGTCGCTCACGTATTCACTGAAGTTGAAGTGCCTTTAGTATAAATTCCTTCCAAGGATTCAAGCTTCACTCTGTATTCAAATCACCATGGATTTCAGTGAATATGTGAGTGGCCATTTGAGAACACAACACTTGTGGTTTATTCATATTCACAATTATATGATATGTTTTCCTATTTGTTATTGGCTTAGCAGATCATCCCCTATTTTTGCATATATTTTGTGGAAGACAGGAGAAAGTCTTTGGGGGTACCTTTGGAAGCTTCATCTTGAACAGGGAAGTTTCTGTCTGCTAATATCTTATTTTGTACTAATTGCATTTTTTGGTTTGTGTACACACATATTGTGTTTTTCCTACATATTTGATTAGTTGCATGGGAAAATATTTGATTTGGAAGTTAATGTTATAAAATAGTTCTTCTCATACTCATCATTTCAGTTCCTCTGTCTTTTAGTTTGACATTCACTTTGAATTCACCTTGAATTTTACCACATGATAGGAGGCTTCATATTTGCATAAATGGAATGCTGGACCTGAAGTCATGGGAGGGGCTTGATTTCCCTTCTTATGGATGCCAGACCGCTCCCCATTATTGTTCATTCTGGCGATTTGCATGATGTGACGTCCGGTCGCTGCAAATCACCATTATACTTACCTTCTACACAGGGGAACGATTACCTGGTCCTCCCCTACCTGTAGCTGTATTTTCGAAGGGAGCCGTAGTCTTGGTGGTCCACATCCTGGTCAAGGCGGTAAAGAACCAACCTCGGGAGAAGTTCCCATGTTTTTCTCGAACGTTTTGGTTCTCACAAACGATTTGGTTCAAACAAACTGACTGCTGTAAATATCGTTGTTCGTCCTGCGAATGGACCCCTCAGAGCCCGCCAGTGGGAGACTGACAATCGTGAGTAACCTAGCCTTTCGGGACTCATGCGCTTCGTTCGGCATTTAAATTGTCATACGCACATTTCACTTGTTCCATTATCTAACACCACAAAATACTTTACCTAATTCTTATGAACTAATGCATAAATTTAAACGAAAGCCGCCCAAACACATGAACAGCAATGAGACTCTGCAATTCACATACGATTTACATAGAAACGCCCGCGTTTCAAATTATCCTTCTCAATTCGGTCAAAGTCAGCTGCACTACCTCACTAACACTAGTACTTTAGGTACTAATTAGCAGACATGAACTGGACATACTATACGAACCACTCAATTCTCATGTCTGTCAATGGATGTATCAATCGGTTAAAGTATATGCTCGCTAAATAGGTTTTAATTGATATAATATTTAAATGGTTTATGGGTATCATGGTGGTATGGAGTGATAGGGTTTTTAAGTATGTATGTATTCCTGCTTTATTATATGTACTTAGCTCATGTTTTTAAGTTTTATCGGCATAGGGATCATTTGCATAATTCAGTTGTTAGTGCTTCTGGCTGTCATTACGTTGAAGTATTCTGTTACTCATTAGACCTGTCAATTCAAAACCGGTATGGTCCTCAATCCAAAATAGGAAGTGGCAGGAGGGGTTATCAAAGAGCAGCCAAAAATACAGATATATACAGATTAAAAACAATATAAAATAACAATATGGAAATAAAGTCCATACATATGTATTTTGGATTGAGGACCATACTGCATGGAGTTTCAAGGTTACTGAGAGACATGCTCTTTGTGCTATACACACATGTAAGTGTGACCAATAAATTGTGATTTTGTATTTTTACAACATACTTCACTATCTGTGATTTCCTTTATTTCCATATGTTCCATTGAGAGGATTTTCCAGTCTTATCACCATCATATATTTGCTCCCGAGTGGGCGAGAAGCCATATTCCACGTGTGTTTGTGAGTGTATCTACAATCACCTATATCTATATATTGCTAAGTTTTTTTACTGTATTACGCTATGTTGGATCTCTGATTTTTTTATACAGAATTCATATGGATTACATTTTCCATCAGGTTGTTGCATATTTTATATATTAATTTACACGTATTCTGGGTGTTTTTCCACTTTCTTACTATTGTACATTGTTCTCGGGTGTCTGTGAGGTACACCAGGGAATTCTTCCAGCTATACGTTTTTGTGTAGTGTATATATAACCCTTTATCTATGAATCCACAAACTGGCCTTACATCTCACTTATTTACGTTACAGCATTGTATCATTCGATTCTAGGTATCCATGATTTACTGCACAACCTCCTATGTAATGGCTGACCATTACTTCACAACATATACTGTTAGGCAGAATTGAATATCTACTTTTACATGCCATAACACAATTCCTACTATATTTCGTTCCCAATGTAGGTCTGCGCCAATCCACCTTCTGAGTTATACCGCATTTCTGATTACTCGTTCTCAGATACGTCAAATTACACATACTCATTCGATATCTTACCCTGCCTCCCTTAGTTAGTTTCATTACTGGCTGGCAGGACACCAGGAGCCCGATAGCTTATACTTTCTCAGGACTCGGTCTTACGTTAGTGGTCCCGCGAGGCCAACAACCATCCTCATACTCGGAGGTTACATAGTAACATAGCTGAAAAGAGACTTGCGTCCATCAAGTTCAGCCTTCCTCACATTTGATTTTTGCTGTTGATCCAAAAGAAGGCAAAAAACCCAGTTTGAAGCACAATTTTGCAACAAGCTAGGAAAAAAATTCCTTCTTGACCCCAGAATGGCAGTCAGATTTATCCTTGGATCAAGCAGTTATTACCCTACATTGAAAGATTTTATCCTTGAATATTCTGTTCTTGCAAGTATGCATCTAGTAGCCGTTTGAACATCTGTATGGACTCTGATAAAACCACTTCTTCAGGCAGAGAATTCCACATCCTTATTGTTCTTACAGTAAAAAAACTTTCCTTTGCCTTAGGCGAAATCTTCTTTCTTCCAGTCTAAGCATGCGACCTGCGTGTCCTATGTAAAGTCCGGTTTGTGAATAGATTTCCACACAATGGTTTGTATTGGCCCCGAATATATTTGTATAATGTTATCATATCCCCTCTCAGGCGACGTTTTTCTAAACTAAATAGGTTTTAAATTTGTTAACCTTTTCTTCTGCACTTTTTCTAGTGCCATAATATCCTTCTTTAGAACAGGTGCCCAAAATTGCACAGCATATTCAATATGTGGTCTTACCAGTGATTTATAAAGAGGCAAAATGATATTCTCATCCCGAGAATGAATGCCCTTTTTCATGCATGACAATACCTTACTGGCCTTGGCCACTCCTGATTGACATTGCACACTGTTACATAGTTTGTTGTCTATAACAATTCCAAGTCCTTTTCGTGTGTTATCCCTAATTTACTTCCATTAAGGGTATAGTTTGCTTCTGTATTCTTTACGCCGAAGTGCATAACTTAGCTTTTTTCAACATTAAATTTCATCTGCCATTTGAGTGCCCAGTCCCCCAGTCTATCTAGATCCCTCTGCAGCAAAGGAATATCTTGCTCACATTGTATTATTTTACAGAGTTTTGTGTCATCTGCAAACACTGAAACATGACTTTCAATGCTGTCTTCAAGATCATTTATAAACATGTTAAATAGAAGGGATCCCAGAACAGACCCCTGAGGGACACCACTTGCCACCTCTGTCCAGCTTGAAAATTTACCATTAATGACACCTCTTTGTACTCTGTTTTTAAGCCAATGTTCTACCCAATAACAAGCATTTTCATCTAGAACGATTTCCTTGAGTTTGAACACTAATCTATTGTGTGGAACTGTATCACTATAAGGTATTACACCCATCGGCCCAACTTATAGTTAGTCGCCTCACGTGGTGGCATAGAGAGGGCCTTACCTGTCATTCTCATTCTATCTTATGCTTTATAAATCACAGAGAGGCCGACACCCGCCACAAGTTTGGAGGCCACGTAATCCCCACGCGCCAACGCATAGATAGAGCCTCTCAAGCTGCTTGACATCTAGCAGGGCCTCACCTGTCACCAACTTGTTTAAAAGTTTCGCCACTTGACAATAGCTGGCAAGCCAGTATGTTGTATGGGTACACATAACTGCTTCATGCTGTTTAACATATCTCTGCGACAGGAAGATGGAGTTTCCTGTCCCTGCACTGCACTCCTACTAAGTCTGATACGTCACACAAGGGACATGGCTAGTCCTACTTCTATTAGATCTTGGACTATATCTGCCATCATAGCAGGACCTTTGAATGGTACATAAGGTACCAGCACAGCTTTATAAACCAAATGATCAAACCACATATATACATATTTTTCATATATGGGTACCGCTAAATGGGCTTTTAGTAGGGAGGCGATAGCTTAGTATGAGAACTGTGTCTAGTATTGGAATCCTATCTGTTGTATAATCATATTGAGCAGATTTAATTAACTCTGGCATTAATATGTGAAGCCAGTAAAATTAAATGTGTGTAAGTTACGTGGCTGGTACTATTAGGTATTTGTAAGTTCCCTCTGTCCAATTACACTGGATTAGAACATCATGTGATGAACTATATTAGGTACACACAGTAGCTTTGGTTATCAGTAACATATATAGGTCTATATTTTCAATACCAGTCAGGTAGAGGCTGTTAGCTGGCTATATACAGTAGTGTATATATATATACATATATATATCTAGGTTGCCTTATCTAAGTGGGTTTCAGATATTCAACATTACATTTCATTCATGTGTAAATTTAAGACCTCACTCTGTTCTCCTTAAAGTCTGGTACATACACTCGAAGTTCGACTTTTACAAGGGGCTGTCTCCTTATGCTGACCCTCTCAGAGTCCTCCACACGCATTTAAGCATACGTTACATAACTCAATATTCAGTGCATGTTTCGGTACGTTTAAGATATCCAACAGGATATTGACTATCTGTCTACATCATAAGTAAATTAGGATTACATGCATTCCACGCAGATAGATGAGATATATCTTCTTATGATAGATATTTAGGTTGAGCCACTTCCCCCCCTCGTACATGGAAGTGGCTATGTTCATTCAGGGCGATTTTCACTACTAGTACAATTCAGCTTCTCATCTAGACATAGTATTACAGTATGCCTTCTTTATTTTACGGTATTAAGCCCCTTACAAAGGCATATCGGTTTCTATACGGTCATTCATCTCAATAGCTGGTGTCGCCACTGACCGGATCAGGTTTATGCCTGACTCGCAAACTGTAGATAACCACGATATACACCATACATATATGTATAAGTAGATATATACATAGGTATATAGTGGGGGGGTGTACGCAAATATAGGCATATACATATACACTCACGCTCTGGTTCATTATTTCACACTATTGTACTCACTGTTAAGTTGGTAAAATACAATTAAGTTACCCTTGGTTCCTATGTCATAACTCTAGGGTCGTTTAATTATTTTGGCTCACCTATGGCACTTCTCACGTATCTACATGTACCTCGAGCACATCTTGTCATGTGCACTTCGTAAATACTGGCTTGGTCAGCGGCTAATTACTACTTTATCAATATATGACCATATACCTGGAATTGACAACTTTGTTACTGATCACTTATCTTATTCTCCATTACTGGCTTTCCGCTGAGGGTCTACAGTTTAACCGATAATGGCTAGATTTTTATGTTGTAATCAAGATTCTTGAGTACAGTGGTCGATTTTACTTCTTTTGCCACCTTTTACTTAAATATTTTAACACTACTAATGATATTTTAAATTCTGTCAGTAATAATTCTGGATAACGACCTAACCTCTGTTCAAGGTTCCCCTGATCTGCTCCTTACACGACAATACTCTAACAACAAGTAAATTCAGACTTTATCTCAGGTTTTACTGCATGGTCAGATGAGGTCTTGATTCACATATTTAAGCAGGTCACTCCTTCCACATCAGTGCTGACAATCATACCTAATATTTGGTACATTGTAATAGGACTTTGAGACAATGGAGGCCTCTGTTAACTCCAGATATACACATCAACCTGTTGTTTAATATGCCAAGACTTCTGGAACATGTATATGAAATGTACTGATTTGTAGGCTTTATAATTCTGTATGGTATACTCTTTTTATTACAGGCCCACCGCATTTGTCGGTTCCGGCACACCACAACCGACTTTTTCATATTATTATAGATCTCATATAGGGACCTTACATAATTACTTCTAATATGCTCATTACGGCTTTTGATGCCACGACCATAACTTGCTTTACTATAAATCTCCAGCAGCACAGATCAATCAAGTAAGTTTAAACCAATCAAAAATAAGTAACATCCTATATATAAAATAGGCTAACTAAGGAAGCCAGCAATTTGGGCGAAACGCGTCTTGGCAAGCTTCATATATATATTTCTCTTTTATTTTTTGTTATATATTCTTAGTGTGTTATTTTAATTGTTAAACAATACATTTTGCTTGAAGATTACCATCTGCATCATATACCTGGTTCCTGTAAGGGAGGTGTCACCCTGTAATTTGACACCAAAACAAGGAAATTAAGAGACAGTTCATAAAAGGCTCTAAATAAGGTGAACAGTCATTTCTGTTATATCTACACCTTAAGATTCACAATTAAAAGCGATACACCTAGATTTTTTTCTATTCTGCCTTACCCCACTATGTATATCGTGGATAACAACTGAGAGAAAGCCATAACAGGGGTTGTGGTTGTCGACCTTAATAGACACGGACACGCTAAAGTTTAGAGCCTATACCATAAAAGGCTCTAAAAAACGTGAGTGTATCTCTTTATATCTAATAACACTCATTCCTCTATACCTCACAGAGTTATACTATGTAGCTTTTTGTATTTTTTTTTTAACATGTAAAACCCCCTAAGAATACATCTTATAGGGGGTAAGTGTGTTGATCTTTTCACTTGTATTTCACTGGACAGGTAGAGACTATACTGATATATAGTGCTGCACTCAGACTGAAAGTCGGTAAAACTACTAACCATACTTGAAGTTATATGTGTTTCTGGTAATTCTTATTTGTGTGTGATTTTTTTGGGAGTTCCCACAGAGTGTTTTTCAGCAGCTAAAATAGTATTACTGAGATAACTATTTAGAGCGCCATTATTTCACACCTTCCTGTTGTTATATATATAAAATAGACCAGACCCCAATTCTTCCTCTTTCTTTGCTGCTCCAAGTAGAGGCACAGGTCAGAGTACTTGTTCCTGATAATATTTTCTTACATTGTTTATTATTGCTGATGTATATATTATACTTTGGTGCTTTGCCTGTCACCTGTTTTCTCACTACTTCTAGAGGTCTTTATTCCCCCTTTTGGGGTTTATGTTCCCCTTACTAAACTTCATCTCCCTTCATCCCTATATCTACTCCTCTTACTAACTAACAGCCGTGGCAGGCTATCGCGCTGCGGCACCTCCCTCTTGTGGGGACCTTTCCCTTCTCCTTACACACTAACCGGGGGTCAGGTGTCTGAGCGACAGCTTTCTCCCTCTCCTCACTCTCTCATTTGGACCCGCGGGAGTTCTTCTCGCGAGGACCCGAGCTTCACGGCGGCCCTTTTTTTTTCCCTGCATGTACCAGGTGACGGCAGGAAGCCCAGACTTACTTTGGTGAAACACATAGAGCCTCCTCATCCCTGAGACAGATAGAGAGTTTACTGAAAGGAGCTGAATATACTACAAGTTTCAGGTCTCATTGCTCTTTCTCTAACTGTATACAACAGTGACATGTCTATTTATGGAGCATGGATGTGAAATGAACATGGATATTAAATTAATACTGTATGGGTTGTAAATATGATATCGTAACCTGTGACTGTACGCTTGGTGCATAGACTGCCTGACACAGCTGCACGCAGGGGTGGTCCCTGCTTTCAAAATGCACCCAACAGTCATTCCAGGGCCAAAGGCCTATTACTAGAGACTGATCAGGCCTCTGACCCTTCCACACGATTACAAGGGTACTCCCCTTATACTATCAACCGCTCAATACGACTGGTATTTAAACAAGAGCCTGCATTACATAGTCTCTAGAGGGGACCAAATAGGATACCTGATACCAGGCTACCCCCAATTGGCCTGCGCTAGGGGTCTACCCACCAGGCATTGCTTAGGCAAGCATAATAACATATACGTCCTTTTCCCACAGGACGATACTGAGTGTGATCATGTCAGATTCCGCTCCACAAAGCCAAGACTATCAGGGAATGAGTTATTCTGTGGTGGTAGCATCCATGGAGAAAGCAATAATTAAAATGCTAATGCAAGTTCCGCCTGCACCAACCACACAGGCTATGGGGCCGACACCGCATGACGTGGAAGATAATTTGAACTGAGAGGCGCCTTCCAAGGAACTCAACTCCCTGTCAAAATGCCAAAGAGTCAGCCTCCCCATGCCACATGCTCAGGGGACAGGGAAGAAACATAGAAACATAGAATGTGACGGCAGATAAGAACCATTCGGCCCATCTAGTCTGCCCAATTTTCTAAATACTTTCATTAGTCCCTGTACTTATCTAATAGTTAGGATAGCCTTATGCCTATCCATAGGCGTGCGCACGGGGTGTGCCGGGTGTGCCTGGGCACACCCTAATCCCCGTGGCACGCCTATGGTTTGAGTCCTGCAGGAACAGCGTTCCTGCACTTTTTTTGAGCAGAAACGCTGTTCCTGCAGTTACTCAGCGCCCCCTGTTTCACCTCTTGCCCCTGTCATGGGGGGGCAAGAGGTGATGGATCCCCCCACCTTTCTGCAGCTCAGCGCGCGGCGAGGGAGCTGTCTGCTGTCTGCTCCCTCTCGCTGCGCGCTGATGCCGGGAGCCGGAAAATGACATCATATTCCGGCTCCCAGCTACAGCAGACAGCCCGCGCGGCGAGAGGAAGCAGAAAGCAGACAGCACACAGCTCCCTCGCCGCGCGCTGAGCTGCAGAAAGGCGCCCGCCCCACTGGACCCCAGCGACAAGTCCACGCCAGCACTCCAGGTAGGAGGCTGGGTGGACATTTTTTTAAAATTAAAATGTAATAATTTGTTCTTATGTGTGAGTGTCTGTGTGTGAGTGTATGTGTGTGTCTGTGTGAGTGTGTGTGTGTCTGTGTGTCTGTGAGTGTATGTATGTGTGTGAGTGTATGTATGTATGTGTGAGTGTGTCAGTGAGTGTGTGTGTGTCTGTGAGTGTGTGTCTTTGAATGTGTATGTCTGTGTGAGTGTGTGTGTATCTGTGAGTGTATGTATGTGTGTGTGTCTGAATGTGTCTGTGAGTGTGTGTGTGTGTACCCATATATATATACACACACACACACACACACACAGAGCCGGCGCTATCTGAGTGCCGGCTCTGCTCTAAGCCTCCATGGGCCGGCGGGGAGACCAAAGATCTACCTCACCGGCCCACAGCAGCATGGAGGGAGGCAGGAGAGGACCCAGGGAGCTCTAGACAGAAGCTCCGCCAGGTTCCTCTCGCGATATCTGAGTGTTGCTGCGGCAACGCTCAGATCTCGCGAGAGTTAACTCTAGCCCCGCAGGCTAGAGTTCACTCTCCACTGGACCACCAGGGATGGCACATGGCAGCAAGGATTTACTAATCTGCCAAATCCCTCCAAACATACAGCACACACACATACAGCACCTACACACATACAGCTCACACACACACAGTACACTAACCGCACCCTCACAAACACACAGAGCACCTTTAAAAAAACACAACACCCTCACACACACACACAAACAGCACCCTCACAAATACATGACACTCACACAAACAGCACCTTCACAGGACAAACATACACACACAAACACCCTCACACACAAACAGCACAGTCACAAACACACACACACACAAACACCCTCACATCACACTAACAGCACCCTCACACACACATCACACTAACAGCACACACAGCAGTGTATGTATCTATCTATCTATCTATCTATATATATACATATATAGATAGATAGATAGATAGATACATACACACACACACACACACACACACACGCGGCGTGTGTTTGTGCTGTAGGGTGCATACCCTAATGCAATAGGCTGCGCACGCCTATGTGCCTATCCCACGCATGCTTAAACTCCTTTACTGTGTTAACTTCTACCACTTCAGCTGGAAGGCTATTCCATGCATCCACTACCCTCTCAGTAAAGTAATACTTCCTGATATTATTTTTAAACCTTTGTCCTCTAATTTAAGACTATGTCCTCTTGTTGTGGTAGTTTTTCTTCTTTTAAATATAGTCTCCTCCTTTACTGTGTTGATTCCCTTTATATATTTAAATGTTTCTATCATATCCCCCCTGTCTCGTCTTTCCTCCAAGCTATACATGTTAAGATCCTTTAACCTTTCCTGGTAAGTTTTATCCCGCAATCCATGAACCAGTTTAGTAGCCCTTCTCTGAACCCTCTCTAAGGTATCAATATCCTTCTGGAGATACGGTCTCCAGTACTGTGTACAATACTCCAAGTGAGGTCTCACCCGTGAGGTCTCACCAGTGTTCTGTACAATGGCATAAGCACTTCCCTCTTTCTACTGCTAATACCTCTCCCTATACAAGCAAACATTCTGCTAGCATTTCCTGCTGCTCTAGTACATTGTCTGCCTACCTTTAAGTCATCAGAAATAATCACCCCTAAATCCCTTTCCTCATATGTTGAGGTTAGGACTCTATCAAATATTCTGTACTCTGCCCTTGGGTTTTTACGTCCAAGATGCATTATCTTGCACTTATCCACATTAAATGTCAGTTGCCACAATTCTGACCATTTTTCTAGTTTACCTAAATCATTTGCCATTTGGCTTATCCCTCCTGGAACATCAACCCTATTACATATCTTAGTATCATCTGCAAAAAGACATACCTTACCATCAAGACCTTCTGCAATATCACTAATAAAAATATTAAAGAGAATGGGTCCAAGTACAGAACCCTGGGGTACCCCACTGGTGACAAGTCCAAGCTTCGAATATATTCCATTAACTCCTGCTAAATGCAGTAAGCATGCCACTCATTCTCTAGCAACCCCAACAGTGCTATCCTCAGAGGATGATGAGACCTACCCCTCAGCGGCTCTAGATGTCATTGATGAATGGTGTGCAGACGCCTCAGAATCAGAAGATGAGAGTAACTGGCTAGACATTCCTGCTTCTGATTCTAAATATGTGAAAGTATCATATGGTGGAGAGTCCTTCACCCAGGAGACACTGGACTCACTGGACCACACAAAATTTGTCCACTACTATCTACACAAGCCCCTAGAGCGCAGGATACGCACCCGCATGAGAGCTGAATGCCCATGCCCAATTCTGCCAGACAAAATAGCGTTGACACCCGAGTTTGACCAGACAGTCGTGGTGTTTATGCCAAGAACCGGCCATGACCCTTGTAAAGGGGTGGAGAAGGGCCTCGAAGTGACATAGGACAAACTGCTGGACCTGATGGGCCCTATCGCAAAAATCCTCTACTTCGCAGATCTGGCCCTATCAAAGGGAACCCAACTTTATCCCAGCGCAATCAGAGTATGGGCACAATGCTGCATATGTATGATGGGCAATGTCAACGCTGCATTGTGTACGGAAAGGCACAAGATGGCTCTCAGCCGAATTGATGCAAGGCTCATCAATATGACACACAAAGAGTTAGGAAACAATGCAAACGGACAACTATTTGGTGACTCTTTTATCACCAAACTGAAGAAACACGTCTAAATAATGCGCAGTCATCGCTGAGACAGGCCGGGGTGTTTTGAGGCAGGCTGGTCGGCAGAGGAGCCGTGCCACCAGCCAATTCTGGAATTCGGGCTCCAAGCCAAACCCTCCTTTGGCATCGTTCTACCCGACATCAACCTCATGGATACAAAACTACTACAGAGGTGCAGACAGAGACAAAGGTTACCGGGGAAGAGGACGAGGACATTTTCCCTCCAAAGGTGAGTCCAAACCCTCATACCAATGTCTCTACTTTGACTGCAGACAGACTCTCCCTTTATTTGCAGAAATGGGAGGATATCTCATCGGATGCCTGGATCCTACAGACGGTACGAGGATACATGATCAAATTTCATACACAACCGTACCAAGAACACCCACCACCCGTGCGTACATCCGAAGACAATGAGTCACTGATCAACGATGAAGTCCGAACCCTTTTCTCCAAAGGCGCAGTAGAACATGTGCAGGAAGACGGCAGCTTCTTCAGCAACATATTCTTGGTTCAGAAGAAGACAGGAGACTTTCGTCCCATCATCAACCTGCGGCAACTCAACTACTTTGTGGTATACCATCACTTCAAGATGGAAGGGATCTGCTTCAGTGACTGACGTCTCATCTGCTTCACAATCTACTCCTAAAGGACGACTGGTTCACTTGATTGGGCCTCAAGGACGCTTACCTTTCGGTACCAGTGGCTCCATCCTGCTGCAAGTTCCTACGCTTCTGATGTCACAGTCAAACATGTCAATTCACGTGCCTCCCATTCAGAATCAGCTAGGCCCTGTGGTGTTTCACAAAATTCCTGAAGCCAATCTTGGCCCATTTTTGATCTATAGGCATAAGATCTATCATCTACTTGGACGATTTGCTACTGTTTTGCGACACACCGTCACTACTCAGATCGCTGACAAAATTGGTTGTGGACTTCCTCGAATCCCTGGGCTTCATGGTGAATCAACACAAGTCCGCACTGATAGCCTCTCAAGTGGTCCAGTTTCTGGGGTTCGAAATAGATTCAACCTTCTGTACGCTCAGACTGCCGATCAAGAAGATTGCTGCCACGAGGAAAGAAATTTGCATGGATCACTTTGCGTTATTCCTCCTAGCACGAGTTATGGGACACTTATCGGCCTCCATACAAGTGATATATCTGGGACCGCTGCACTACAGAGACATGCAATGTTTGAAAGGACGCTCTTTGCGTTCCAGACTGTCTTACGATCACCTGATTCCCCTCACGGCCAAAGTTTGGACGGAACTTTGTTGGTGGCTCCTCCACATGCAAGCCTGGAATGGGAAAGCCATATTTGGTCCCACACCAGATTTCATGATTGAATCCGACGCCAGCCTATGGGGCTGGGGATCTCATTGTGCAGTATCCTCTACAGGGGGTCCTTGGTTAGAAGAGGAAATGGACTTGCACATTAACTGCTTGGAGTTGATAGCAGGCTCTTTTGCCATATGCGTTATGGCCAGTCACATGTCCAACTGCTGCATACTGCTACGCATAGACAACATTTCGGAAGTCCTCCTGGGAGGAGCTCGATCCCAGGCTCTGGCAGAGGCAACCAAAGACATCTTCAGTTTCTGCCTCTCCCGCAATATCACGCTGTAAGAGGAATACCTACTGGGAACCTAAAACCTCACAGCATATTGGTACTACCAGCATTGGAGGGATGGCAGTGACTGGCATCTCAACTCAACGATATTCAATATTCTATTCAATCTCAGGGGTCCACTGATTATAGACCTCTTTGCATCTTGAAACAATCGACAACTTCACATGTTCTTCACTTGGCTACCAGACCCGGAATGCGAAGCGGTGGACGCATTTTTCCAGAACTGGCCGACACAGAACTGGCATGGGTGATCCACTAGGTACGGACTCAAGGATGCTCCTTACTCTTACTGACACCGCTATGGCAAAGCCAACATTGGTTCCCGGATCTTCTGGAACTATAGTGCGACCATCCACTCCTCATACTGTCCTTTCCACTTCTGCTGACTGACCCATGGGGGGAACTTCATCCCCTCGTCCTACAAGAACATCTGGAACTAGTAGCCTGGAAGATTCATGGGGATCCTGGTCAACAGGATCTATTATGGGATTCGTGGGCACCTGGCACCAGACACTGTCATCTCGCAGCCTGAAGCAAATGGTCTAGCTGGTGTTTGGAGAGGGATTCTGATCCCTTTACAACACCTGTTCCTATGATCTTACATTTTTGATCACATTCCTTTTCCTTAGGACATTCATATCAATCCATCAATGTTCATGATCTCGGCTTCACACGTTCTGGTTTAGGGTCTCCCACTGGGTCAAGATCCATTGATCAGGTAACTACTTAGAGGTATACGCTTATCACGCCCACCAACACCGAAATACTCCCGACTCTTGGATGGTGAGGTGGTAATGCAGTTTTTGTGGAACTGGCCAGACAATACATCTTTGTGCTTGCACCAACTCTCGGCGAAACTCACACTGTTACTTTGTTTGGTATCTTTTCATTCGGTAGCGGACGTTAGGGCATTTGATGTAAACAGTTTATCCTTTACCCTGGAGGGGGCTTCATTTTCGGTCACAAAACGTATTAAGATAAATTCGGCGGCGGTCTTTTGCCCATTTTTTCCTACGGCCCCACACTTTTGTGTGGTCAGGACGTTGATGCGCTACGTAGAAATTATTGAACGTATATGGGGTTCTCAATCAGGTCAACTTCTCGTGTCTTATGCCACACAAACCTGTGTCTATGACTACTCAGGCAGGATGGGTACGTTGGATACTATCATTGGCAGTCATCGAGGCATCTTTCGGAGCGCATTCCGTACAGGGCGTGGCGGCTACACACGCTTTTATGTTGGGTGCCTCTTTCTCCGACATCATGCGATCGGCGGATTGGTCTCTGGAAGATACGTTTCAAGTTTTCTATTTTCTTCCTGCATCTCATGCTACTTTTTCTCTTCTTGATTAGCCTTAAAAATGCAAATATGAAGCCTCCTATCATGCGGTAAAATTGTATATTATGCTAACGTAGTGTACCTATAATCTTCATTTTTGTAATGACAGGAGGCAAGTATTTCCCTCCCTTACTTCTTACCCCTCTCCCCCCTCTCATATTTGTCTCGATTTTCCGTGGTCTGGTTGTTTTATATACTTGATACGTATTATCAGAAGGTATATGAGTACATTTATAATTACTTGCGTACTGTCTTTATACTTAGATATTTACCTATTTGTATAGCTAGAGTCAAATTTATTAATATAATGGGTATTGTTCACAGTATATGTATTACATGTTCACTACAAGTTCCTTTCACTTGTTTCTTCGTCTTTTCAGTATGAAATATCATGTAATACCAGGTGGACAAATTTCGTCTGTCAAAGAAATTGGTTTCTGGACTTAACTGGACGTTTATCAAGTTCATCAGTTGTTCGTTCATGTTAAATTGACCATCTCCATTCACATCAAAGAAAGAGGAAGAATTGAGGGCTGGCCTATCTTATATATGGGATGTTACTTATTTTTGATTGGTTTAAACTTACTTGATTAATCTGTGCTGCTGGAGATTTATAGTAAAGAAAGTTATGCAAATACTCGCCTCCTGTCATTGCTCAAATTAAGATTATAGGTACACTACGTTAGCATAATCTACAATTCTCACTTTCGTAAATAGTTCTGTGGAACTTTTTGAGAATTGGCTGGCTTAGAAAATCTGAAATTATCCAGTCAATTCCCAACAATTCACAGTTTCAAGGAACTCCTCCCTCAGATTGAAGATAAAAGGTTGTTTTACTTAACTTTACTCCATTGCCACAACTGTCCTGCCTTGCTCCCAGCATTGGGAGGCTATTGCGCATGCGCAGCAAAATGCAGAGCTGCGCCAATCAACAACTCTTCATAGATATGCATGCCTTTGGGCACCACAAAAAGGGTGCGCAAAATCCAAATCTCTGACATCTGGCCAGAGACTTCGATTTTTAAATATTTCGGACCGAACACCGATAGCACAACTGCGCACACAGCAGCCATTCCTCACAACTCACAACAAAATTAGAGGGGCAAAAGTTTACAAATAATATCAGGAAGTATTACTTTACTGAGAGGGTATTGGATGCATGGAATAGCCTTCCAGCTGAAGAGGTTGGTAGAGGTTAACAAAGTGAAGGAGTTTAAGCATGCATGGGATAGGCATAAGGCTATCCTAGCTATAAGATAAGGCCAGGGACTAATGCAAGGATTTAGAAAATTGGGCAGACTAGATGGGTCGAATGGATCTTATCTGCCGTCACATTCTATATTTCTATGTTCCTATGTAACTCACTATGTAACTCGGTGTTTGGAACAGCAGTGATGCTGCTACGGGACACTATCAAATCCTGAATGCTGCAGGACCTCCCTTAGGCATTGTAACAGCTCTGTAGTATTTTAATTGGCTGCTATCTACAAAGCTCCACCCCCTTGCTCTCAATCAGCCCTCTCATTACATGATACGGTACCACGTGTTATCAGACCACGAGGGAGTGGGAAACAAGCTTCCACTCTGAAGGCTGGCTCCAGCTCCTATAGATAGGAGCTGCAACGACACACATAATACTTGTTGCAGTGAGGAATGCTATAGGGCAGAAAGGAAGTGGAAATAGTGGCACTCAGCCACAAGAGATCAGTGTGCTTAGAGTGATCTTACAGTGTGCTGTGAGTGGGTATCTGGTTCTGTGACTGTGAGTGGGTACCCGGGTCTGTGACTGGGAATCTGGGTCTCTGAGCATGGGCGTCCGCAGGAAGGGGAAAGGGGGGGCACTTGCCCCCCTCCTTTGGATTTTTCAGCTTGTTCTGCTATTTTTCGTGTGAGATTGAAAATACAGTGCAATACCGGCGCCGGCCAGTAGGTGGCGGAGAGAGTGTATGGAGAGAGACAGGGATAGGAAGCTACATCTTATCCCTGCTTCTCTCTACTGACTGAATCCACAGAGGAACAGCATGTGCAGCCAGAGACATCCTACAGATCAGGTAAGTGAGGGGTGGGGGGCAGCCCACAGATCAGGTTAGTGAGGGAAGGAGGGGAGAGAGAGCCTATAGATCAGGGAAGTGAGGGAGGGGGAGAGATAGCCTATAGATCAGGGAAGTGAGGGAGGGGGAGAGATAGCCTATAGATCAGGGAAGTGAGGGAGGGGGAGAGATAGCCTATAGATCAGGGAGGTGGAGAGAGAGCCTACAGGAAAGGGTGAGCAAGGAGCAGAAAGGAGAAGGAACAGAAATAAGCAGGGAGGGACATCAAGGAGCAGAAAGTGGCAGCAAGGAGCTGGAAGGGACAGCAATGAGCACAAAAGGTAAAGTAGGAGGGAGGGACATCAAGGCTCACAAAGGAACAGAAATGAGCAGGAAGGGGCTGCAAGGAACAGGAAGGGTCAGCAAGAAGCAGCAAGGAGCTGGAAGTTAAAGCAGCACAAAGGTAAAGTGGAAGGAGCAGAAAGGGTCAGCAAGGAGCTGGAAAGGGCAGCAAGGAACAGAAGGAGCACAAAGGTAAAGTTGGAGAAGGAACATAAATGAGCAGGGAAACATTTGACCTTCTCATCTCCCCAGGTTAAAAAAAAAAAATATCAATGTTAATGTGTTCACTTTTATTTACTGAGTATCCAGAAACACAGAGTGCCGCTGGGTAGGGGTGTCGCAGATTGGCTAGAGCGGTTAGCTTGCACTCTTAGCCAATCAGTAGCTCCCCATTCATAAAAAAGTAAAACTTTTTTATGAACCGGGAACTAGCGATTGGCTTAGAGTGTCAGCTGACCACTCTAGCCAATCTGCAGCACCCATGCCTGATGTCAATCTGCACTTCCTGACACTCTGTTTCAGAAGCCGAATAACACTGAGTGACCTGGAGATCTGGAGCTGGAGGAAGCCTTTGGGGTTAAACCATTTGAAAGTGGTTTAACCCCTTAAAGGAATGAGCACCCATGGGCTTCCTGGCATCATAGCATTTTCATTTAGATGAAGTTGTTATGGTGACCAGAATGTTCCTTCAATTTGCTTAAAGGAACACTATAGTGTCAGGAATACAAACATGAATTCCTGACACCACAGTTGTGAAACCGCTATTCACCCTGGCTGTGATAATGACTATGCCCCTTCCCTTTCATGACACTGTCAAAAAGGGACCAAGCATGGATGTCATTACAATTATGCCCTTCTCCCCCCCCCAAAAAAAAATTTCTGTGGACGCCCATGTCTGTGAGTGGATACCTGGGTCTGTGACTGTGACTGGGTATCTGAGTCTGTGATTGTGAGTGGGTATCTGGGTCTGTGACTGGGTATCTGGGGTGTGTGAATGTGAGTGTGTTGTCTCTGTGAGTATAAATGTGTGACTGACTAATTGTTAGTCTGTATCTGAATGTGTTTGTGTGATTTTGTGCATCTATGAGTATGTCTATAGGTGTATATCTGTGAGTGTGTAAGTCACTGTTTATATGTGTATGAGAATATTTCTGATTTTATGTGATTTTATTTAACCGCAAGAATATAATTGTTATGTATATGAATTTATGACCATATGTGACTGAGGGCAGTGTGTGTATGACTGTGTGCCCCTATCTGTGAGTGTTGTGTGACTCACTTTGTAAGTGTGAAGAGCAGAAGTAGCTGAAAACCATTTTAAAAGGGTGCACACAGAGAACCTGAAAGATGTTAATTGGAAGCTATGTCATGATGTGAATTGAGGAGAAAAGGGTACATAAGGGATTCTAATTTGGGAGGGTTGGGGTAAATGGGGTAAATGGCAGACCTATATGAGGACTAATATTACTTAGGGAGTGGGTGAATTTTCAGGAGCTTGCCACCAGAAACTCGTGGAATTGAGCTAAGCCCAGCCACGTAGGATCTCGGTCATTGGTTAAGAGCTGGTTAAGAGCTTAAACTGAGTGCTGTTAGCCAATGAGCATGGCAGGCAAGCTGATGCGCAACTGGGTGTAGGTCAGTGACACTAACCATAGCTTCTTGTAGGAGTCTCCAGCAGCAGGGAGTTGCATGCCTATCAGTACCGAGAGAACCAGTGTGTGTGGGAAGGGGGGCAAAATCCGTTTTTGCCTGTGCAGTCAAAAATCCTTGCACCAGCCCTGTATGCATGGAATCAATGCATCTTTATGGGGAGCTTTCAATGTCTCATTACAGAGCGCTGACACAGGAAGCACCTCTAGTGGTCATCTGACTGGCTGCACCAAGAAGTGTTACTAGGCAGCAAGGTAAATACTGTATTTTCTCTCAAAAGGCAATGTTTTCATCAAAAAACCTGCAGGGACATGATATAGACACCAGAACCATTACATTAAGCTGTGAAGCTTGTTCTGGCTACCGGTGGTGTACTAAGCAAGGGGGTGCCATGACCAGGGCAGCCTTAGGATGTGTGAGCTGTGCGGCTGCACAGGGCGCCATGACAGCTGTACAGCTCATTCTCGCAGACAGCCACAGAATTTCAAAACCGGACACATCTAAGAAAAGCGGGGATGAAGCAAATTGGCAGTGGGGTGAAGCAAAACCAGCAGGGTGGAGCTAAACACAGCCTCCACCCGCTACTATCACTGCTGCACATCGAGGGGAAGCAGAATGGAGTCCCTGCTTCCCAAACAAATCAGACTCCAGCCCATACGGTCAGTAAGTAAGAGAGAATGTGTATGTGTTGACTGTCTGCCTGTGACTCAGTGTGTGTCTGTGTGACTGCCTGTGACTGTGTGTGTGTTTGTGAGACTGTTTGCCTGTGACAGTGTGTGGGGGTGGGTGTGTAGGTGTGTGACTACCTGCCTGTAACTGTGTGTGACTGTGTCTGTGTGTGATTGTCTGCCCGTGACTGTCTGCCTGTGATTTAGGAATGCAGCCTGTAACTGAGTGTGTGTGACTATCTGCCTGTGACTGTGTGTGTGTAAATGTCTGCCTGTGACTGTGTGTGTGTGATTGTCTGCATGTGACTGTGTGTGTGTGACTATCTGTCTGTGATTGGCGAAGAGAGAGAGTGTGTGTGTGTCTGTGTGTGTGTGTCTGTCTGTCTGTCTGTAGTTGGATGTGTGTCTGTCTATATCTGTTTGTGTGACTGTCTGCCTGTAACCATGTGTGTGACTGTGTTCGAGTGACTATGTGCCTGGGACTGGACTCTGAAGACTGTTGCTAATATTGTTGTGTAAAGAAAAAAATATTTTGTAAGAGGCTGAGAAGTGACTTTAGAAGGAGAGGCATGTTTTTTTGGGAAGGGTGGGTGCAGGAGTTTTATGGAAGGGGTGTGCAGGGGTTTGTAATGGGGGGACAGGGATTTTGTTTAAAGGGGGCTGAGCAGCGGATTTGTGGAAAGGGGTGTGCAGGAGTTTTGTAGAACGGGGGCAGGACATGCGTTTTGTAAAACTGCAGGCAGGAGAGGGGTTTTATAGTAGGGGGCCGGACAGATTTTTTTTATTTTACATATTTGTGCAATTTTTAAAAATGAAATGCAAATGCAAATGCTCCAGGTATGCCCCTGCTCTTGACTACAGCGTCCCTTTAAGAAATAACCCTGACTGTACCAAAAAAATTCGGGTTTGTTCTTCTAGGATTAGTAATTAAGCTCTAAATTGTCACAAACTGAACCCTGAATAGTAAAATGTAGGCAATGGTAGCTCATTTGGAGAAAATTTCCAATTCAGCTATAGTCACAGCTTGATTTTATATTAGTCTTAATTTTGCAATACAGATTTTCAGTTCACTACAGCTTGAATTTGAATAAATAACCCTGATAGAAACTTGTTCTTGTATAATTCCTATAGGTCTTCAAAGGTTGAATACAATAAATGGAAACATTATATTTTTGTAAATGTGTATAATTTGCTTTTTTCGGTCTCTCTATTGAGCAATCAGCAAAAAAATAAAATTTTAAATACTGTGATTTAAAGAGTTAGCTATGAATCCTGCGTTTTAATGTCATGACATCTCATGTTACAAAATTTTATGGAAAAAATAAATTGTTAAAAATGGAGTTTAATGTGTTGAAGGGTTATGGCCATCAAAATCAGATTTCTTTTGGATGGAGTAATCCTTCCTGGCTCAAAAAAAAAAAGAGACAGAATTAAAGGATTCTTTATTTAGTTCTCATAGCAGCCTTATTGTCCTTTGGTCACATTACACCCCTTTGTTATAGGGGATCATGTTATGGAGTAGGACTGAGGGAAGACAAAGGCCAACATGGAGGAGGTACAGTCCCACCTTTGGTCACCAATCTACAGTATGCTAGGTGGGCTGACATGCATAGAACTGACATTAGCAGCCCAAAACTCTCTGCTAATGACACTCCGGGAGGAGTAATTACACCTGAGGCTGCAAAGTTCTGTATCGCTATAAGTTTAGCATTTCTTGTGAAATGCTGCTCATGAACACTCCAAGCACTATGACCACTTCAAATCACTGAAATAGTCATAGTGCTTGGAGAAACTCTTTAATACATTAATAATGGTGTGGGACTTAAACATACTCTTAATGGAAGTCTGACAATGTTCAGTATCAAGCTTGTAGAATTTTTTTTCAAATTTATTACAGCCTACATCCCATAATATACAATATATAATATAGATACAAAACACCTGTGTGCAGGTAGACGACACACTTAGTGGGTAATAAATACAAACATATAAAAATTACCCTTAGTCAAAAGTGAAGTAGATGAAAGGACTCCTCTTATGTCCTTAAAACAATATTGATATACTACCAGAAGGCAATCTACAACACAAAAATAATAGAAACGGACATAGAATAGTAACGTAGTAAATTGGGAATTTATAGGAATAGATAATTGCACTCACAGACCCAATTTGATTGCAGGCATATCATGAATAACGATGTGTATACTTCTCGATTTGTGGAACGTCAATCCCATGCATAGGAGGAAGAATAATAAAAAAGTAATAGTGCAGAGTATCTTAAGTAAAATTAACAAAATTTATTACAAGATACACTTACAAAAAAGATGTATCAAAAAGGCACATCAAACTCAGCTGAAGCTGCAACCCAGTCCCAGGATCAGAAGAGCAGAGAAACCAAATAAAATAAAATACACTTAAAAAACTATAAAAAAACAAATACTCAGCATATAAGAAACAAGCCCTACGCGTTTCGTTCATAAAATTAACTTCATCAAGGGCATCCAATCCTCTGTAAACAAGAATACATAAAACACTCGTCTTTTATAAATACAATCAAATTTGCCGCGAAGAAAATCAGCTGTGCGTGTTACTTCCGGGTTCCGGCTTCGGCATATTTCCGGATACGACCCTATTGCGTTCCGGAGCTTCTGTCCAAGCCTCACTCTGAAACTCATCTGGTTGAACGGAAGTCAAGACGAATATGCGTTCCATTTTGCGTTCCATTCTCGGGGTTAGACACATACATCCCCAAAGCACATCGTATTTTATTATTATTATTATTTTTACTTGATTATTTTTGCTCTTATTTTTATTATTTTTTAATTTTTCTTTTTCTTTTTCTTTTCTTTTATATTTTTTTTCATCTTATTTTGTTTTGGTCTTATATGTTAATTTGTATTAATTTGTATTTTTTACTATTATAAGTTTGTATCATTCCCCTCTTTCAAACTAGGTGATACTTCTCCCTTTTTTATATATTTGTATATATGATCACATATATGTTTATATTTTGTTTTCTTTATATAACGATGTGCTTTGGGGATGTATGTGTCTAACCCCGAGAATGGAACGCAAAATGGAACGCATATTCGTCTTGACTTCCGTTCAACCAGATGAGTTTCAGAGTGAGGCTTGGACAGAAGCTCCGGAACGCAATAGGGGCGTATCCGGAAATATGCCGAAGCCGGAACCCGGAAGTAACACGCACAGCTGATTTTCTTCGCGGCAAATTTGATTGTATTTATAAAAGACGAGTGTTTTATGTATTCTTGTTTACAGAGGATTGGAATCCCCTGATGAAGTTCATTTTATGAACGAAACGCGTAGGGCTTGTTTCTTATATGCTGAGTATTTGTTTTTTATAGTTTTTTAAGTGTATTTTATTTTATTTGGTTTCTCTGCTCTTCTGATCCTGGGACTGGGTTGCAGCTTCAGCTGAGTTTGATGTGCCTTTTTGATACATCTTTTTTGTAAGTGTATCTTGTAATAAATTTTGTTAATTTTATTTAAGATACTCTGCACTATTACTTTTTTATTATTCTTCCTCCTATGCATGGGATTGACGTTCCACAAATCGAGAAGTATACACATCGTTATTCATTATATGCCTGCAATCAAATTGGGTCTGTGAGTGCAATTATCTATTCCTATAAATTCCCAATTTACTACGTTACTATTCTATGTCCGTTTCTATTATTTTTGTGTTGTAGATTGCCTTCTGGTAGTATATCTACATCCCATAATAGACTGCCCCAAAGGACCTGACACCAATTGTTCCTTTGAGCAAGGCATTAGGTATTTGATGCCACTGTGGCCACCACAATAGTCACACATTCCTATTAGAAATGTTGCGAACCGTTCGCGAACTTCCAGGAGGTGGGAGGGTCTGGGAGGGAGGGTCTGCTGGAGATTGGCCGGGATGTGTCAGCTGACCGGAGCTCGCCGTGAACGGTTCGTGGCGAACCACGGCGAGCCGTTCGCGGGAAGTTCGCGAACGGTTCGCGACATCTCTAATTCCTATGTGCTTCACTTTTGTGAGTGATTTTTTTTTTTTTATCATTTCTTGACATTTTGTTAAACTTGCTATACTATATTATTTCCCCCCTTTTTTTATTTTGAGTGTCATAAAGAAAAAGGAAGCGAGGTAACAAATGTAACCAAGGGACAGTCTACATTGGTGTAGAACCTCTTTTGTACCTCAATACATCACGTTAAAGTATACAGAAAAATACAAACTTTATTACAGTTATAATACACAACAAAACAGATGGATAAGTAAGATGACTTATAATGTTACAATTATTTACATCCCAACCGTGTAATCTTATATAGTGTATCCATGGGGACAAATAGTGACATTATCCAACAAAATATGAGCTGCTTATTCCAATGAGAGGTTATTGACCACAATCAGGTGGACATTGGAAATGGTGAGAAGGGATGCACACTTCCTTTTTCTGGATGACTAACAAATCAGCATCTAGGCCACGCTTTTAACCTATTGGAATACATTAAGAGGAAACAGTAAAGTAATTTTCACAGATTGTAGAAATCTCAAAATAGTTTGTATGCTGATTGACAAGTAGACATCCATATAGAATTCAATGATAATTGGGCATTGTAACGGCACCCCCAGGCATAAAAGGGTTAAACCGCCGTTTAGTAGATCTTCCCTTCCAGAGACACAGGCACAGCTACTGCAGAAACCATATGAATGCTGTAAACAGCCGAATAGGAAAAACCATACGAATAGGTTTACACTCCTAGCAGTCGAACTGGAACAGCATACAATAAATCCCCCCAAGAACGAGACAAGGCTCCGTTTTGAGGGTCAAGCAGGAACAGACAGAGCTGTGGGTTTATTGTTCTTATATACACATTAGTACCACCCACAGGGTTTTGGAAAACAACCAATAAACACATACAGTACACTCAGACACTCCCACACAAAATCCTCCCCTCTGCCTGTGATACAATTACCTTACACAATGGCTAATATAATTATCACCAGCAGAGAAATAAATTTTTTCCACATTATTCATAACTTTAAAAGTATGCATCACATTCACATAAAACATACATTTTCAGAATCAGCATACTCCAAATACAAACGTATGTCAAAATCATCCAAATTGGTCCAGTGGTTCAAAAGATAGATCGTAGTCCTTTGTGACCAAAGGAAGCATGGCTTTTCTGCACAAAACCAGTTCCGCAGAGTCTTCTATCCTGGAGATAATTGGGAAGTAATCAAATTATCTCCAAGGACAGAGGCAAAACTCCATTAAGCACATGGCAGTAAAAAGACAGTAAAATTCAATAAAATACACAAGGTTACATCTATTACATAAAATACAGACATGCAACATATCCCCAGACAGCTTAGGTCTGAGCGCACATAATTACTGAATGGCGCTCAGACCACACACATACAGTTCAATTGCCATGGAGCCAAAGTCTTTTATTACACGAATAGGCTCCATGGCATAGCTATCTGGGTTAAATTAGTTAATTCAGTAAATCCGAGAATCTACCGAATGCCAGGGCAGAAATACAGAAATAGATCTTTCTGCATAGGAAAATAAAGTGTGCATAGTGGCGAGATTGGTCTCGTCACAGGCATGATCACCCCATATTTTCTAGGATTGCAGTCTGTTGACAACAAAGAGTCCCAGGTATGGGTTATATTGAATGATTTCACTGATACTAAATACCACATGTGAAACAAAATACTTGAATCTGTTAACTAATTTCTATAATGGGTTAACCTTTTTGAGAATGCCTTATGTAGACCACAATGAAGAAGCTATATTACACACCCTTATGATCCACCGATGGAAGCTTATTATTCTTGCTGAAAATATCCTTCTCTTGATCATTAACCTATAACAACATCCTTTCCTGTTTTCCTTTTGGAATAAAGCACACGTTTTATACCATAAGGTAAACCTCTTATGTAGTGCCAATAGAGGAAACATTTAAAGTGGACATTAAGACAGGTGTAATCCTAGGTATTGGTTTAGGTGTCATCAGCCAGACTGTGGAATAAATTGTATTTACTCAACAAAGAAAACAAAAAATTTCTTGAGATTAATTATGTTGTTGCTATGTTTGAACATTAAATTACTTACTCTAGAGGCTGCTAATTAATTTAACATATCTTATTGGTTAACATAGAATTAGCTTAGTTACTCACAGTACAAAATATCTGCTTAAGTCTAGATAAAAGAAAAACAGTGCGTATAGTATACAGATAATTCAATGAGGATTTGACAGACTTAATTCACTCTGCCAGTAATGCAGAAGGAGATTACTTTAGTGCGGTTCCAAGAAGAGCAGTTTATCCCTCAAAGCAGCAATATTGGTAGATGTAGCTTTTTGTGAGGTTAAAGGTTAATGAAATAAAGTGACTTCTAACCACTGCCATGTGCACTAACCTTATCATCTAAGGAGAGAAAGTCCTGGTGGTATTTTCAGAAAAGTAGAGAGTAAAACAGATGCAATTAGATGTTTAGTATAAGTATAGTGTATCAGTGTGACATTTACAGTGGTGACTGGTGAAGTTTTAAGATGGGGGGGCGACAGACTCCTTCCCCAGAACTTTACTCCTCTCTATACAATACAGAGATACTCATTCAATTTAGAGAGCTGAGCATAATACAGAGATGTCCCCACATAAAACAAGATGGGCACAATATAAAGATATCTATGAAATACTTAGAGCTGAGTATAAGACAGTGATAACCCTACTACAACTGTTGTATCAACTCTGGTTAAGTATGAAACAAGGACACTCCAAACACTCCCGACACAGGTCGTTGAAGAACAAAGGCTATTTATTGTTTTTGCAGCTGCAAAGGTCTCAGTCAGACAATAGTCTTGGAATACCCGACTGAGCACACGTTTGCAAGAGAACAAAGAATATATACCACAAATGACGTATTCCATACATATACAGAGAATACAGAAATTACACCTACATTACTATGGTTACATCCAATTATTAAACTAAAACTTATCTCTTACACATGTTATCTAATAGTGGGTGTTCCTGACATTCCGCACATGCGCCCTGGTCCAAGATAGTTGCACAGTAGTTTTAACCATGTGAGTACTGAACTTTACTTAAACCTCCTGTAGCTTCTACCACACAACCAGTCCTATGGCAGTCACTAGAGAAGAAGATAATATTATTAACTTACATTTGGCAGGGGCTGGGAGGTGCTGCTGCTTCGCTCTCCTGTGCTGCTCCCAAGATGGCTTCTTGTTTCTCTCTCACATGGGCACTGTAACCCCAAACCTAGTGCTATGATCCAATGATAGCAATGATAGCACCTTAATAGAGAGGCCATACCATGCCTCCACTAATAGGCAGCTGGCTCTGCCAATTTGGGCAACCCAATGGAAATTCTGGAAATTTCTTCTTAAAGAACACTAGTCATGTGCAAAACCTGCTAAAACAGGCCGGGTTTCCACCCACCCCATTTTTTGGCATGTATAGATGATCTCAAGTAGGCTTCTCCAGAGTTACCAATGAGGGAGGAAGGGGCCCCACAGAACTGAAACCTATTACAGAATTAAAGAGACACTACTTTATTTCCTATATTTTTGGCTTATTACCCTTCCCTCCAAAAAGAGAATCTTTGGTTTTCTAAACAACTAGAAATTATTCCCCCATCCCCGTCCTCCCCCAAAATAACAACTGATGGGTGCTGCCTTAAATATCCCTATAGATGAGCCTCCACTGGTCATTTAACTGGATGCTAAGTACCAAGAACACCACAGACTTGAAGTGATTCTGGTGCAAGAACTTTTTGAGTGCAGTCCATCAGGGGCTTGTCAAACTGTTTTTAAATGTTAGTTAGTCTCTTTCGGCAAGCAACTTCAGCTCTTGTACATAAATACTATAATAACCTGTGGTGTTTATTGTCCTTAGGCTGTGAAGGGGTTAAAGGTGTAGATATCAAGAAGAAATCATTTTGAGAAAATATGCCTGAACAAAATCTTGCAGATGCTTTGGCAGATCTGTTCATGGTAAAATCCTATTTATGGGACTATTCATTCTTTACTGGTCAAGATTGATTAGTTTTTCAGGCACTGTACCTGAGTTTGGAGAATGTTGGTCTAAATTGCATGCTTCCATCAAGTCATCAATGATGACAAACTCCACTTTGTCTAGTTCTTAATCTTATATATCCTTGAGAAGGGCTACACTGACAGGCTGGGAGTCCACCTTTTTTGCCTTCTTTATTTTATCTGGAGCCATTCAAGGTTCTCCACTGGTCAAGCAAAGTGTACAAATGCCTATTGCACTTTAAAAGGCCCCTCTGCCATTTCATGCCCCTCTGGATTGTGTGAAACTATTTTATCAAGTGCCAATATGAAAACAATGTAACCTAACAAGGAGGAATGCCTTTGCCTTGGGAAGTAGGTATACATCAAGCTGCAGGCCACTGAGTGTGAAGAAGACATCCATGGGGAAATAACAGGCAAATTCTCTATTTCTTATGTTTTTAAAGATAGTAGGCCTTACAAAATTGTATGTCCAGATTGGCAGCAGAGTTTACAAAATCAAGCACCTATAATGGACCTCATTCAGTTAGGTGTCCATCCTCATTTTTAATGCATTATGAAAACAATCTAATAATCACATGCATAAATATTAATATAAAAAAAAAATTCATCTCAGGTTATTCTGGATTATTTCTGGGGAGAAAATAGCGTTACCAGTCTACAGAGGCATACTTTGGGCATGTGGCACCCGGGGCGGGTCCTGGGTTTGGCACCCCCGCTCACCTCTCCAAAAAAAAAAACCTACTAAATTTTAAAAATGTGTTATATTTTTTACATTTTTTTAAAAAATGTATTGAACAAATTTGTAAACTTTTTAAAACCCCTGCCCCCTTCTACAAAATCCCTGCACCCCCTCACATACAGTTACAGGCAGACAGTCACACACAGTTACAAGCAGACAGTCACACGCACACAGTCATATGCAGACAGTCACACATATAGTCGCAGGCAGTCATACACACAGTTACAGGTAGAGAGTTACACACACACACAGTCAGTTACAAGCAGTTACACACAGTCACGCGCACTGTTACAGGCAGACAGTCACATATACAGTCACACACACGGCCACAGGCAGACAGTCATACACATAGTTACAGACACACACCCACAGTTACAGGCAGTTACACACACAGTCAGTTACAGGCAGTCACACACAAAGTTACATGCAGACAGTGTCACACACACACACACACAGTCACAGGCAGACAGTAACAGGCAGCATCACACAGTCACAGGCAGACTGTCACACACAGTCACAGGCAGTCACACACACACAGTTACAGGCATGCAATCACACACACTTACAGGTAGACAGTTACGCACACACACACAGTTACAGGCAGACCGTTACACACACACACACACAGTTACAGGTAGACAGTTACGCACACACACACAGTTACAGGCAGACAGTTACACACACGTGCACACAGTTACAGGCAGACAGTTACACACACACACACACACATATTTACAGGCAAACAGGAGAACAGCAAAAACCAATAGTGCAAAATGCCAGTTAGAGTGAGATACACACAACATGCAAGTGCACAATTGGCAACTCACATACAGTGGAGTAAAGGGGTAGGTGGAATATCAGTACTTACAATTGTAGTATGTGGCCTACTGTCATTGGAAAGGATATATACTCTACTACCACTGGAGACCCCCTTTTGAGGACATCCAAGGCCCATCTACATATGCTTAGGTGGGGATTGTACCGTCCAGGCACACATATCTGGAGCTGAATATAGGCTCCAGAAAATTCTAAGTGCAATTCCTTTCCCTTCATTTACCATCACCAGGGCCGTCTATAATATGAATAGGACCTCGGGCAAAGCCTTTTCTTGGGCCCCCTGGGCCCTGTCACTGCACCCTTCCTCCCCATTACACCCAACCCGCAATCACACTGACAGACATACTGACACATACACACACAGACAGACACATTAAAACATTCGCAGATACATACTGACACACACATACACTGACACAAAAATATATACTGGCAAACATTGACACACATTCAGACATACTGATACACACACAGACACATACATACTCACAGACACATACACTAACAGATATATTGACACAGACACACAGAGACACATACACTGACAGGTGTATTGACATACACAGACATACTGATATACACACACACACACTGGAACACAGTGAGACATACTGACATACACACACAGACATACTGACATACAAACACACAGACATACACACAGTATGTCTGTGTGTGTTAGTATGTCTGTGTGGTGAGTTAGTATGTCTGTGTGTGTATGTCAGTATGTCTGTGTATGTCAGCATGTCTGTGTGTGTATGTCAGTATGTCTGTGTGTGTATATGTCTGTGTGTGTGTGTGTGTGTGTATGTCAGTATGTGTGTGTGTGTATGTCTGTGTGTGTGTATGTGTCAGTATGTCTGTGTGTGTGTGTGTATGTCAGTGTGTATGTGTGTGTATGTCAGTATGTCTGTCATAGACACACACAGACATACTGACATACATACACAAACAGATACTGACACAGACATACTAACACACACACATACTAACACACAAACACATACTAACACACTAACACACACACACAGACACAGACATACTAACACACACACATACTAAAACACACACACAGACATACTAACACACACACACACACACATACTAACACACACACATACAGACATACTAACACACACACTCAGACATACTAACACACACAGGCATACTAACACACACACACAGACATACTAACAAACACACACACACAGACATACTAACACACAAACACAGACATACTAACACACACAGGCATACTAACACACACAAGCATACTAACACACACAGGCATACTAACACACACACACAGACATACTAACAAACACACACACACAGACATACTAACACACAAACACAGACATACTAACACACACAGACATACTAACACACAAACACAGACATACTAACACACACACATACTGACATACATTTAGCCACCCTCCAGGTTCTTACCTTTTTATGGAGGGTGGTTTCCCTGGGGTCCAGTGGCAGGCTGAGGCAGATGGGAGTTCTTCTCTGGAACTCCCCTCCTCCCTGCCTTCCTCCTCCCGCGCCGCTATCTCCGTTGGGAGGAAGTGACACGCGGTACTCACTTCCTCCTAGCCGGCACAGGAAGGGGCCCGGTCGCGCTGTTTAAGCGTCACAGCGCCCAACCGGGCCCCTTCTGCCACATGCCCACAGGATGGCCCTTAGTGCATGGGCCACCCGGGGGCCTCCTTAGTTGGCGGGGCTGCTCTGGGGCCCCCCCAGGAGCAACTGGGCCCGGGGCAGCTGCCCCGTTTGCCCCGCGCTAAAGACGGCCTTGACCATCACTTAAGATCTCAACATACTACACTATATCCGTGTCTTTTTCCTTCCCTTCTCCATATCGCTCTGAACGTGGGAATTACTCCATAGGCGCTGCTCCCTGATCCAACTATCTACATCTCACATACAGTGGAGCCTTAAACCAGCTCCGGATTAATCAGCATACAATGGTTTAGATCCTCCACTTGTAGGATTTCACTCTGATACTTTTCCACAATAGGATAGTAGTAAGGTGCACCATATGAAATAAAGGAAAAAACAATAGTGTTCTCCATTTATAGTAAGTGTATAGGAATAGTTAAAAACTTACCTATAATTTAATGAGTAGACAGACGGCTCTATGTTCCAGACATAGGTGATATAATCATCACCTTCAATTCTTTCATAGAAGTCTGCAGATGTCACCAGTAACAGGAATGGATGCCAGGTTGGAGACAAGCTAATAATAAAAAATAACAACTGCAGGTTTTGAAAGCTGTTTTTATATGTACCACCAATGCATAATTACATTTTTATTTGGTGTATATCTACTAAACTTTTTTAATTTATTTTGGAGAGTGGAGTGTTATTTCTTTCAGCCCAGATTTTTTGTCCTAACTTTGCAACCTCTAAATCAGCTAGACCATACAAATAAACTTCCTAAATCACGAGACTGGAACATATCAGCTACAGATAGCAAAAGCAGTCTGGTGAATGAACTCTTAACTGCTGTTACCTGAATATAAGGTAGCAGTTGGCATCTTAGGGAAATCCAGATTTATAATTTTGGCTTTACTTAAACAGAGTAAACAAATGAGAATAAAGCTTTTCCCCACGGCTCATCTTTAGTGATGCATAAGTAAGGAGTTTATACTTTTCAAATGACAACCTAAGTGGAAGTTCAGTTAACTCCTGCAGAGAGAAAATCTGTGTAATTTCTGGCTCATTCGCTAAATTTTTATGCAAGCAATGACTGTGTCTGGGTTCTAGACTGCGTAGCATTCATGTGGTCCAGAACCCCTCTAGCACCAACCCTATTAAAAATATTCATTCAATTTCACTGTCATTACAAAAAATGATGCAATTGGTCAGGATATAACTTCAACAAACTATAAAACATGTGAAGACATCCGTGAATTTGAATTAATAACGTTTATTGACAAATATGATGATTGATATTATGCTCCCAGGAACAATCTGAAAATATGAAGCTCTAAATTGTTATATTGATCATATAGAGAATCACTATAGACTCCAGCTCTGAGCAGACAGTTCAGTTCCAGTGACATTTCATCAAGAAAACTCAGATTTGCAAATTTACTTTTTTATTCAGTAAAAAAAACAGTATATACATGTGAATAAAGTATCGAATGAGCAAAAACAAAAAGATAAAAACACTGGGTCCATACAGAGAGTTCACAATAACTTATTTATCACATAATGCAATTGGGTAGGTCATTAGTACAACCAATATAAGGCTAACAAAATATGTAAAGAGAAGTGATAGCAACTACAGTAATAAAAACCTGCAGGGCTGCCGTCAGAAATGTTGGGGCCCCTAACTCAACTCAGGGTCTGGGCCCCCGGGGGCCTGCCTCCAAGCCTGACCACAGGGACCCCCTCCATATCCCGCCCACAGGAATAAACACACAGACACAAACACACACACAAAGATACACACATACTGACACACACACATACATACTAAAAGTACACATACTGAAACAGACATACACACATATAGGCATACATACTAACACATACTCACATATACAAACACACAGACATACATAGTGACACACAGATACATACTAACATACAAGGACATACAGACACAAACACATACATACATACATACATACATACATACATATTGACATACATACAGATACTAACATACATACATTCAGACTGACATACATTCATACAGACATAAATTCATACAGACATACATACATACAGACATACAGACAAACATTCAAACAGACATACATACTGACATGCATATATACATACATTCATTCATGCTGATATACATACATACATACATACATACAGACAGACATCCGTCCATTCATACACACATACAGACATACAATAATACAGACATACATGCTGACATACATACATACATACATACATACAGACAGACATCCGTCCATTCATACACACATACAGACATACAATAATACAGACATACATGCTGACATACATACATACAGACATACATACAGACAGACAGACAGACAAACTGACACACACACATGCAACTCATTTTTCAGCCACCCTCCTGTTTCTTACCTTTTCCTTGCAGGTGGGTGGCTGGGGCTGATATGAGTCGGCTGGCTCTCCCTCTTCATGGCCTCCACGCTGTCTCTCCTCCTGTGTGGAGTGAGCTGGGAGGAAGTGACAGTCCATCACTTCCAATTTTTTTAAAGGGGTCCGGTCACGCTATTACACGGCCACAGCGCTGACCAAGCCCCTGAAGACAAAGGGCCCATCTTGTGTCCCTAAGTATGTGGGCCACCCGATGGGCCCCATGAGCGTGCAGGCCCCAGTGTAGATGCACCAGCGGCAGTTCCACCACTAAACGTGGCCGCTGGGCCCGTGACAACCATCATTTTTGTTACCCCCTGATGGCGGCCCTGTATCCCTGTAATCAGATGTCGATGGAGAAGAAGAACATTAATATATCGGGATTCGAGGGAATATCAAGATAGAACAGCTGAATGAACATTTGATAGCATATTAACATATATGGGACAGAGTGTTTAGGGGGAGTGTCATTTGGAAGGGAATAGAAATGATAGGCTCCATATTTTCATGTCGAAATTGTATTTCATGAACTATCACATATCCTCCTGTGCTTTAATAGATTGAACCTTTTGGTTCCATGATGTTAGCTTATTTTAATTGCATATGCATGGATAATTTATAACAAAATTATATGAAAATATATTTCGCTGTACTACGCCTACAATAAAAATATAAATTTATCATGAAATGTTACATAAATAGAAGAAAATCTGCTACTGGATTCAGGCTTTATCCATCCACTTATGTCTAAAAGATGAATATAATATTTAGTTATGCCTCTTATAGTTATTATTATTATTATTATGTTATTTATATAGCGCCATCGAATTCCGCAGCGCTTTACAATGGGTGGACGAACAGACATGTAGTTGTAACCAGACAAGTTGGACACACAGGAACAGAGGGGTTGAGGGACCTGCTCAATGAGCTTACATGCTAGAGGGAGTGGGGTAAAATTACACAAAATGGTAAGGATAGTAATAGCCTAGTGACAGTTGCCGAAGAAGAATTAGTCAGGAGCTATTAACAGTTTAATTGATATGCTTTTATGAAGAAGTGGGTTTTTAACGATTTTTTAAAGGAGTGGAGACTAGGTGAGCATCTAACGTAGGAGGGAAGCGAGTTCCACAGGAACGGTGCAGCCCTCGAGAAATCTTGAAGGCGAGCATCAGAGGTGGGAGTACAGACAGATGATAGACGTAAGTCTTCAGCAGACCGTAAGGGCCTAGACGGGACATACTTGTGTATAAGGGAGGATAGATAGGTGGGAGCAGCATTATGTAGCGATTGGGAAGCAAGAACCAGAATTTTAAACTGAGCTCTATATTTTATAGGAAGCCAATGTAGGGACTGACAGAAGGGTGAGGCATGGGAGGTGCGGGAGGTGCGGGCGGACAGGAAGATGAGCCTCGCTGCCGCATTCATTATGGACCGTAATGGTGCAAGTTGGGAGCACGTAAGACCATTGAGAAGCAGATTACAGTAGTCAAGGCGAGAAAGGACAATGGAATGGACCAACACCTTAGTCGCATCTGGCGTTAAGTAGGGGCGGATGCGCGCAATGTTTTTGAGATTGAAATGACAGGATTTGGTGATAGATTGAACATGAGGCTTGAAGGAGAGGTCGGAGTCAAAGAGAACACCTATGCAGCGAGCCTGGTGGTGGAGCTGATGGTAGCACCGTTGACTTGGAGACAGACAGACACGGGAGTAACAACACTTGAGGGAGGAAAAACCAAAATTTCAGTTTTGGTCAAGTTTGGTTTAAGGAATAGTTAAGTAACATTTTAGTTTAAGGAATAGTTAAGTAACATTTCTTCTGGTTGTTAAAGATACACTCCAGGCACAATAACAACATCATCGAGAGAAAGTTGTTATGGTGCCAAGAGGTCTTGGGGGTTACTTACCTTCAGGGGTTAAACTATTCATGAAGGGTTTAACCCCAAAGTTTCTCCAGGGCTATTCTTTGCTGTTTCTAGCCACATCCTCTTTTAGAAAATCACATATAGATGCCATAACAGGGCACCATAACAACTTAATCAAAATTAAGTTTTTATGGTGTCAGGAGGTCTGTTCACAAATAGTTTAACTTCAGAATTGGCTCTCCAGTGCTGCTCTACTGTTGTGGATCCAAATAATGATCTTTGTTATATTCCGAGGAAGCCCAAATTATTATTACAAGTGCACTTGGAGAGGCTTAATATGAATACCAACAGGTGTCTGGTGTCTAATTCTCGCTTCTCCAAGTGCACTTGTAATAATAATTTGGGCTTCCTCTGAATATAACAAAGATCATTATTTGGATCCACAAAATACAATCAAAATTAAGTTTTTATGGTGTCAGGAGATCTGTTCACAAATATTTTAACTTCAGAATTGACTCCAGTGCTGCTCTACATTGCCCCGTCCATGTCTGCTTTAAAAAAAATCAGCTACGAACTCCCAAAGGGCAGGTATGCTGCTGATTAGCTCCTCATCCATAAAAAGATCTGTACCTTTCTCAAGCATTTTGTGAATGGAGAGCTAATAATTGGCTCAGAGCATAAGCTGAAGCAAATAACTTCTTTCTTTAAAAGTTGACTGACCAATAACTGACCATCTTTAAATAAAGTCTATCGATAAATTAATAATAATAATAATAATAATAATAATTCTGTAAATTGTTAGAATTTATTGTTAAAAAAATAATAACAACAATACTATTACCCACAGTTTATATTAATAATATCTATGTAAATGTTTTTTGTTTAAAAAAAGAGGGAAATAAATAAAATAAAAAATAATAATAAAAAGAAAATGCTGTTTCAAATATACAAAATGGCATATATCTGACAAATGTGTCATTCTTTTTAGATCATGTTCCTTGCGATTAAACCTAGAATTCACACAGTGGGTTAATAAACCCCATTGGAGATCTGTGTGCAAGGTTCAAATACCAGTGGGTATACTCCATCTTTTATTCTTCCAAGTTCAATAAAAGGAATGTCATTTCTATAATAATATCACAACTTTTTTTTTCAATTTCCAGTAATTATATTATAAAAAAAAAAAAAAAGTTTTAAGCAAAATGCAGGCTTTACTTATCCATGTCCAAGCATACAATTTGCAGCCTTTCCCCTGAAGTTGCCCTGAGATAATCATTACATTTTTAAACATCTGGATCATAAAATCTTACTAAAGGCTAGTTTATTTTTTTTAAGTGGAGGTCTTGTTTAATAGTGCTCCTTACTCATACCATATGAATTGGCATGCCTCGATAGGATAGCAATGTAAACATTTTTATAGTATTATAAAAAAACAGCATTATTTAATAATACAATACAATTTATCAAACATATTGAGAATATTAAACCCTGCATTCATTTACACAGCAGCATACACTCAAAGATTCAAACTCAATACATTGCAAGCAGAAATATATACATGCTTACTTACATCCTTATGCAATTGTCCAATTTAAATGTATTTTGTATGCCTGCAATATCCAGTTAATACTTTAATTAAAAATCACTTTATCTACCTATCACAGAGGAGGAAATAGAATGAAAATACTGAAACCAGGGAAAGCACCTGGCCCCGATGGCCTCACAGCGGAATATTAAAAAACGCTAAAACTGCAAATTAGTCCTATCCTCAAAAACCTGTTTAACCAAATATATATTAAAGGTCTACCAGTAGGTACTCTCAATCAGGCTCGAGTCTTTCTTATCCCCAGGGACCTGGAAGCTTTGGCCTTTTATCGACCAATCTCGTTTCTTAATCAAGGAGTTAAACTTGTCAATAAAATCATAGCACTGAGAATACAAACATTCCTACCTAACTTACTGACTTCTCTTTTGCTGTGTGCGGAGGCAGACTGGCAACCATGGGGGTCCAAAAAGCAATGGTGGCTGTGGCTAGCATTGCAGATGGGGTTTCGGGCTTGCAATCGCCGTCTCTTGTTGGACTTGACATAGATAGGCCCTTCGATAGCATCACTTGGCAACAACTGATGCATGTACTAAAATTAAGATACTTTGGACACATCTTTGTAAACTTCATAAAAAATATACAACATAACCCACTGATTTGTGTTATTACCAATGGCCTTGACTCCCCTTATTTCACTCTAGAAAGAGGGGTACGACAGAGCTGCCCGCTTTCACCTTTATTGTTTAACCTAGCAACTGATCCTTTATTCCGAGCCTAGAAACCCTTCAGGGATTCAGGGGAATTCCAATGGGCAGTGTCACCTTGAAAGTCACAGCTTTTGTTGATGACCTCCTAGTCTTCACCACTGATCCACAAGACTCTTTACCACCCCTAGTTGACCTACTCAAATAATTTCACGGAATGGCAGGTCTCAAAATTAATTGGAACAAATCATACAGGCCTGCGTTTAGGTGGCGGCCATTCCCGTCAATGCCAGGTGCACTCCCCTTGAAATGGGAACCACAGGCACTTAAATACTTAGGAATCAAAATTCAAAAAAACATATCCATCCTATACAAAATGAACATACCTCCCATCTTAGCTAACATTTTCAAAGAATTTTTGCCAATATCCTACATAGGAAGCGCCTCATTATACAAATTAATTAGCTTCCCTAAACTACTATACCCCCTCAAGGTCTTCCCCTTGCTGCTCTTGAAACAGGATAAAACTATTAAATAAGAAACTTCGACGATTTCTCTGGTAGGGACACAAACAAAAAAATCAGAATCTCTAGAATCTACACACCGAAAAGTAAATCTCTGGCTACATTAATTTCCAGTCAAGAATATTATACCCCTTTCAAATGATTACCCAAATATTAGTTTGCCTAACTGAAAAAATCTATACACTTCAATGTCTCTGTGTTTGTCTATGTCACTGAAGACGCTGTGGGGTCCAGAAACCTTCATTCATAAAATGTTACCAGATGGTGTATTCACCCTGATTCCATATGGGGTCTACCCTCAGATTCTGATTGGATGTTAACATTCCCCACTTGCAGTCAACACAAGCCTTAATTAGAGCAACGTTCAAAGTTTGATATACTGAAAAAAATCAAAAGGAGACAAACAATAGCTAGATACAACTGAAAAAGAATTATAAAAATTAAATGTGTGGAAAATTACCACAATAATTATTACAGGTAATTTTCCAAATTTGCACCTTAACAATGGTGAGAAAAAAATTGCACTTAAACAATGGTGAGAATAAATTGGTTTAAAGCAGGCTACTATAATAAACAGTGAATAAAGGTGCATAGTAAATGTCAAATAAAATAGCAAAAAGAGCATGTCAAAAAGTACTTATTTTAAAAGTGTGTTTTTCAACATGTGGTCAGTCAACATTCTATTCATTTAGAACTTACTACTAGTGCTAAATGCAAAACATCTATTTTGGATTTATTTATTTTTAACACACCTCCCAAAAGTTCACTTGCAACATGCTCAGGTTCTCTCTTCCATTAGGGCTACAAACCAGGCTAGATCGCAGGTGAGTAGCTGGGACAATAGGTATTCCATCTCAATTTCAAATGCATAGCCGTAGAGAACTTGTTGCTCCTGTAACCTCCTGGAAAGGGACCCTTGGTTTCTAATACAACCTGCATCTTTGCAACATGCACCCATAGACAAATGGGTCTTGATCATATATCAAATGCTACTGCATAATACCAACACATTACTACTGTAATGTATCACAAACAGGGGGGATGTAATGGGACAGAAATTCTATTACATCAGAATGGACAAAAACAAGTTCTACCCGAACCCTGTGATTTGACTGCATTTTAAGTGATTGATAACCTATTCCTCTTTTGATTCTGATTTATAATTGGCAGTGAAGTCAGCAATTAGATTGTTTAAGACCTCCTTTTTTCCTTTTGACTTTTCCGTTGACTTGCTGTCCCTCCTCTTTCTATTTCTCTCTCCTTCATTAATATTTTCTTATATTAACCTAATTTAACAACTTTAAAATAGACCAATTAGCTACCTTTGTGTTTGTGGTGCTTAAAATTTTATTTTTGGAATATTTGATGTATTTGCGTCTTTGTTCTGTAGTTCTTTTCCATTTACTACAGTCTCTCAAAAAATAGAGTATCAATAAAAAAAATTATAATAATAATAATAATAATAATAAAAAAAAAAAATATATATATATATATATATATATATATATATATATATATGTAGTTTCTTCAATGGTTTTTAAGAAAATATTTAAAAAAATGAATTTAACAAGTTAATATATTTCAATTTATTTTTATTTAAACCTGCAGAGTAAAAAATGCATTCACTTTAAAATAAACCATCACATTGCTGCTTTGGCTGAATATAATGTTAAGTATTATATATAATATTTGAGTTATTTTATTTTTTTAAATTCTCATGCATATTTCACATCATAGAAGTACTGTATATAGCGACTGTTTAATTTTCTCCATTCCAAATTTCTCATTGCCTATAAAACATTGATTTATTAGCTAAAGTAAATGCTCTGGAGTGGAAGAGAACAATTGATTGTGCCGTGGGCAGGTTCAATGAGTTGACACTAAACATCCTAATCATTGAAGCTACACAGGTCTACAGTATAGCTAAATCTCCAAGCCAGTTTAATTATTCAACAGCACCTTGCTCTGGTGACAAAAAAGGTTGAAAGGTTCACACTTGGAAAGTATGAAAGACAAGCAAGCTTCGCTTTCACACATACAACAAATACTACAAAATGCTGACTGACATAGAATATTGAACCAGATCCTTAGTGATTTTCTCTACATATTAATCACCTCTGCAAATCATCCACATTTAGGAAAAGAAATCAAAAACATTGCCTTTTTATCAGAATAACTGGTACACTGATTAATTTGTAATATTTTTATTTAATGGTATTGATAGACCATTATTGTGACAGAACGTCGAAAAGGCAAAAGATAATTATGTTTTAACAACTTACAATTTTTTTTTAATGCAGCAATTAATATTAAAAATAAGAGCACGACATGAATAAGATATATAAACACATCACACCTTTAAACTCTGCTGCACCCTTCCTCATTTTAGTGTCCTCTTTTCCTCTTACAATGCTAATGACTGTCTCAACCCACAGCTCTTAATAAAATATTATGAGATACTAAGTATAATATAAAAATTCACATAATCAACATGCAGTATTGCTGGTTTTAATTTCCATCCAGTTTCATAATTAAAACCCCGTACTCATAATGAAAACCTACACCCATCCTATTTGTTAAAATGCATCATATTCTGCCCCTTAATAAGATCTCAGATATCAACAAAAGATAATTTATGGCAAAATAAAATAATTGGATCATTTTAGCCAGTTATCTAAACAATATGCAACAGAGGGCAAGACCATGCTCTCTCACACACACACACACACAAAACAAATGTACAAGTTAAACATTTTTACCACTTTTTTTTTTTACCAGTCATCTCCTGAGAGTAGCCACATTTATGATTTGGAAGAGTACAAAAGATAACGGCAAAATAAATACTCTCATCCCTTAAAATATATTACCAAAATCTCATATAAATCACGACACGATAACTTGGCGCTTTAATATTTCCTTATCCAGAGATCTCTTCTTCTTCCACCCATGGTAGTGAAAGAAGGGAACCAAACTACGAGACGTCACCAGGAAAATAAACAACTAAAACACTAAATGATCCTGTTCCACCTCAAAAAGCACAAAGGTCTAGGAGTTGGAGACTAAGCTAAGGTAAATACCACTGTATCAGCCTGAAGCAAAAACATGGAGTCCATTTTTTATCTTACAAATAAGGAGACAAGTATGACAATTAGAAACATTTCGGTATAGTCATTATCCAGGCACTTATGCAATTGCAGTTAATAAAATCTATCCATATCACCGATCAAACAGCCAACTTTTGGATACACAATGCATTAGATTAACATGCTGACAGAATTTTATGTGATCATAAAATACCAAAAGACGAGAAGCCATGTATATGAAAACAATTATCTGCTTTTTATTTAAGACTAAAAATGTTTTATGTAAATTAGTCAAAACCTGCATTTTAGCATTTTGAAAGTAGAATGGACTGTGACCTTTGCAAATGCATTTATTGATTGCAAATTAACATTTCAAACATGCTGTTTTGACTTTGATAAAAAAATAAAATAAAATAAAGAATAATAAATAAATTATATTATCCAAAAGTCTCTAATTAAGTACTGCCATTAGTTCACCTTTGTGCCAGAAGTTATTACCTCTTCCTTGTCCTTCATATATACATAATTTATATTATAAATCAGGATGTGATTTAATGAAGCATGTTCCTCATAGGATTTTCTATCTCCCAATATATAATAATAATAAAAAAGGAAAAAAAAATAATACAAACCGCCATTTACTGGTATAAGCTTAAGCTATATTAGCTATTTTTACCATGACCATTATGTATTGTCCAAACTTGTATTGTCCACATTGTGTAGTTGAAGGAAAACTTGATTATTTTTTATATAACATCGATACAGTGTATGAGATTACATACGGGCTATGACTTTCCATTTGAGAGCACTTTGCTTGTGTGAAATCACATTTTATCGTGTGTTGACATTTGCTCTGGAGATTAGTAAATTAGCTCAATAGATTACCTCAATGTAGAGAAGAGACTTGCTGCTGCCTGAGCAGGCAGTCAATAAACAAGTCTGAAGTCTCTACTGTTTGACTGAGCCCTTCTTTCTCCCCCTCTGTCTTCGGTTATCAGTCGTGCAGAGAGAAAATCAATGAAGTGCTAGCTTCAGAGCTATAGATTCTGTGAATGGGCCAAGAATAATCTACTCTATTGCTAGGCAATTTGGCAAGACGACTTAAAACACAGTACTGCAAACAACACCGGCACCTAAATGACCTAATAATATGATAAAGCTCACAAGCACGTGTAATTCTACATGTTTTTCACAGTTATGTTTACAAGACAATAAGACATTCAAGCCTTGTCTTATCACAATGCAGTTAGCTCTTTATGACTCCATTTTACATTCTCAAGTTGAACTAATAAGCAGGTATTACAATTTGCTTTATTTTCAGACAGTGCTGCATCAATTTTCCACAGCCTGTAAAATGAACTGTAAAACCAGAACGCTTTTATTCCTCCTATTAGATATCGACAACAAAAACAAATTGAACTTTTTAAGAGAGATGTTGAGTTTACAAAATTTTAATAGAAACAAATATGAGCCGTCTGTTGTACTTCAGCAATTATGGACAATTGTTACAATACTCGTCTGATCACCGGGGGATCTTTTCTTCTCTGATATTAAAAGTTTTAGAGGCTATTTCTGGAAAGGAGGTTAACAATATGACTGCATTTTTTATCATAAGCATTAACACAATAACAGTTATTCACTAAGGTGTGAATTTTGGGGAATCTCAATGTGGATTTAGAATTTTAGGACAGCATAACAGAACTATAGATGATTTGGGTATTTTTTTTTAATTAGTTTACTTTGACCTACAGTTTTAAATTCTCTGTGATCATTTAAAAGTAGGAATACTCCATCAGGAAGACAAATTGTTTCAGGGAGGGAAAACATAACACAAATTAACAGCATATATGTAGAAAGAATCATCAGACATGATTAAGGTCAAGAGGCTGAAATGTATTTAATTTTTTTGCTAAATGAAAGGACAGCACCAGGAGACTTCAGATCTCATAACCAGTTAAATGAGATAAAGCAGTTATGGTGACCTACAGTGTCCCTTACAATTGGAAGTCTGTTGGGTGGGCAGTAGTAGCTATTGTAGCATAATGAGATCCTGAGTTGGGTAGAGGGACAACAACCAATCTGCCTTGCAGGGGAGGACAATGGGAAAATGGGCACAGCCTTTTCACCAACACTATGAGTGGAAAGTACCATTTAACTGGGGAGGTTATTCTAAGCTGGATTGTATGGATGTGTCTTAAAACATGGACTCTACCTGCTAATCGGCTCATACACAAAATGGATACACACTAATACTCACAAAATGGTTGTACCGGCATTTAATAGTCTGAGGCATTGTATATAATTTTTGTAAAAAATAATAAAACATTCAAATTTGTAATAAAACAACAAATGTAAAGCACGCTGTGGACAAAGAGTTCTAGACCTCTGAATGGAATTTACTTTCAGATGAGTTGGACAGACCTGATTCTAATTTTGGTAAAAGGGGTTTATAAAAGAGAAACAAAGGAATATAACAGTTGGAGTACAAGGAAAACAATGTGGGGGAAATTGCCCAGCAAAAAAAGAAATAAATGAATATATGACTGCTATTTGGCCTCTAGAGAGAAATAACTCACAATAATAGAGTGGGATAAAAATTGATCCTAATGCATTCTAGAGTAAACCTTCATGCCTTTAACCCTTAGCAAAAATATAAGTACACAGTTACACGGGATGAGAAGATGCCTACTCCAGTCAGCCATTGCGAGTGACAACTGATGGGAAATATCAAAACACAGAACATACAACTTCTTGTATGTTTCTGAGCACCTTTCTGTCCTCCTGTTGGAAGAAAGAAACAAGTGGCTGAGGCTTTACGTCAATTGCTTTTTTTGTGTGACAACGAGCAAGCTATCCAGGTAAGCTATCCGCAAGTTATAAGAGTGAGTATTCATAACAGAACTTCCTTAATTCACTTATTTTGGCCTTAGTTATATAAATGTGTTTTTCGAGGTATCACAATTCAGATTATAGTGAAATAATAATGTAAATGTATGTAGAATAATGTTCATATCTTCTGCTTCCAGTTCTTTATTTATGCCATTGACATTTCTTTATTTTGTCAGAGAGGCTATAGAGCATGTCTTGCATTTTTCCACATGAATGAATAGGAGTCCACAATAAAGTTGTGAATGGAATACATTGCGGCTGTACTCTGAATAGGCAGCAACATGTCTCTGACGCATGACACATGCACATTACTTCCCAAACTGATATTAGTAGGAGACAATGATTTGTTCAGATATCTCTGGGGCATTCTTGATTGAATTATAAGCTACCGGAGGTGGATCGGAAACAAGGATTTTGCTGCAAGACAGACATATTCTTCATTTTCTTTAGTGGATACATATTTTTTTACTCAAGAATGCCAACATATCACACGCATATAATTAAAAGTGGTACTAACGTCTTTATCTATCTTAAAGTGACATCTTAAACTCCAGTCTACAGGGGCAGTCTATAGAACAGCCTATAGAACAACCCTCTGTTTAAGCTTTTCGAGGTGACTTACAATTTATTAATTCACACAAGGCCATGGTTAACAGTCTAGGTCTAGGACAGTGATGGCAAAACTTTTTGAGCCCGAGTGCCCAAACTGAAATACATGCCGACTTTTTTTCCTCAAATTGCCAACACGGCAATTAAACTTGAATACTGAGGTTTAAGTTTAGAAAAAAAACCTCATAAAGTTGTCCGAACTAATTCTCCTCTTCTCTCCCCCAAGCATCTTCCCTTCTCTACCCACAGCCTATCTCCCTCTCCCCTGGCATCTCCTCCTCCTCCTCTCCCCCAGCATCTCCTCCTCCTCCTCTCCCCCAGCATCTCATCCTCCTCCTCTGCCCCAGCATCTCCTTCCCCTCTCTCCAATCATCTCCTCCTCCTCTCCCCCAGCATCTCGTCTTCTCTCCCCTCAGCATCTCGTCTTCTCTCCCCCCAGCATCTCCTTTTCCTCTCCCCCAGATTCTCCTCTTCTCTCCTCCAGCATCTCCTCTTCTCTCCCCCCAGCATCTCCTCTTTTCTCCTCCATATTCTCCTCTTCTCTCCCCTATATTCTCATTTTCTCTCTCCCAGCATCTCCTCCTCCTCTCCCCCTGATTCTCCTCCTCTCTCCCCCCCAGCATCTCCTCTTCTCTCCCCCAGCATCTCCTCTTCTCTCCCTCAGAATCTCCTCTTCTCTCCCCTCAACATCTTCCCTTCACTACTCCCAGCACATAAATAATGTTTAATTTTTTTTGGTGGTGATGGGGGTTTGAAGTACACCCTGGCTCCCTAACTGGTGGATCCGATTCCTTCCTGCAGCTGTGAGAGGGTTTGGGCACGAGGGAGCATTGACTTACCTGCTGTTCCAGCACTGCTCCCTGCGCTGATGCCGCCGGGAGACAGGCGCCGCCTGATTGACGTCATTCACTGCCACCTGGCGGCATCAGCATAGGGTGCGAAGGGAGCAGTGCTGGAACAGCATGTAAGTCAGTGTTCCTTTGCAGCCCTCCATCCCACTCACCCACCAACGATACGAAAGCAGAGTAGGCGCCTGACGTTTTGTTCAGGCAGGTACCTACTCTGCATTGCCACCTGGGTAGCGATCCAACGACCTATGGCTGCGTGCCCACAGAGAGGGCTCAGCATGCCAGCTGTGGCATGCATGCCATAGGTTTGCCATCGCTATACTAGGATCTTGTGCCATGAACAAACTGTCAAAATTATTGGTAATTTGATTTAGACAGTCTGCAATAATTGTCTTTGTTATCTGACTTTGCCTTAAGAAATGTAAATCAGCTAGATGATATTATCAGACACTAGTGAATGAAATATAACCTTCATTTTATATTTCCAATTTCCCATCTGTATAGTTTAAAAAAAAAAACTCCCCCAGACACTAGTCTGGGAAAGCAGCAAGAGAATACATAACATTTAGCAAGCATTTGGAATATAAAGATGTGATTTATAGATTTTAAATTTTAACTAAATTAAACAAAGTTATATTTTACCTTTTTCTGACACTGCCCAGTTCCATAGCTTAGCATAATTACATTTTGTATGGCTTTTGCAAAATGCTCTGTGCATAAGAGTCAAACACCAGAAAATGTTCTGCCTATAAATCAGGTATTATTAACATTTCCTGCACTCAGTTGATCTCTAGAGCTTGGGAGAAGATTCATGAAGATTCTGTTGACAAAATAAACATTATTACAGCAAAAATTGTGAAAAACCAGCTTTACCTCTGCACTGCAAATCATATTTACAATTATGATTATTGATAGATAGGAATGTGTAATTAGACATTAGTCCATTCTTTTATGATCAATATTATTTTGAGTCTTTTCAGAACTAGAGATTTAAAATAAAGATTTAGATAAACAACTGACCTAAGCTTCAATCTTATATGTCTGGATAAGCTTTTGAAATTATTTAATATTTTTAAAATAATTTTTTTAATATTAAAATATTAAAAAATAAATCATAGATAATAAAATATACCAGTATATCAAAAATATCAAAAACAAATTACAAATATTTCAAAATACGAAATAATTTCCTCTAGAACGCAAGCTCATTTGAGTAGGTCCCTCAACACCCTCTGTTCCTGTGCGTCCAGCTTGTCCTGTTGCAAATACATGTCTGTTAGTCCACCTATTGTACAGCGCTAAGGAATTTGTTAGCACTTCAAAAATAATAATAATAATAATAATTAGTTCAAAAGTGTATCCAAAAAATATTTAAGACATTGAAAAATATTAAATCAAGGCCTTACAGTTTGTACCAAAAGGCATAAATACACAAAACACCAAGTAGCACACATAAGTCAAATGTATGCTTTTGGTGGTGTTTTGTGTATTCATGGTATTCATGGTATTTTTGGTATTTATGATTAGTAAATTTTTTGTTTGTTTTTTTAAATGCAACGCAATATCCTTCAAATATGCATTTATAATTTATTCCTCACACTTCCTTATATTTCTTAGAAAAAGACTATGATTATTAACAAAAAAGCATGGGTGTGCAAAACTAGTGGAAATCCAACACAGCTCAGAGCTGTAGAAAGAAATCAAGAATGATTTGCCCAAGAATCTATTTCTTATATAATTCTGCCCAGCGAGCGTGCCATGTCTTACAATTCATAATGATATTTTCATGCTCAGTGACTAAAAAACCATGCATCTTTGGTTTTTGCTATGTCATTATGAAGGTAGCTAAGATACATGCAAAACACTCAACACTACAAAATAAAATGATAACTAAAAACAATCTGATGCTTTCATAGCAAGAAACATATTAATAAATAAATAAAGAAGCAGAGAAAAAGAGGTGAATAGAAGTAGGAAGGAGACAAGAGATAAGAAAATATTTAATTAAATAGCAGTAATCAAGATAGCAAGCTGTTTAAAGTAGAGATAAAAAGAATCCAAAATGCCCATTATTCGATAAATGGAGCAGAGAAATGTTGCTCAGCTCCTAAAATTGTCTACATCCACTCAAACCATGTTCATCCAATCTTTCATTGAGCGGGTAAATGTGACCTGAAACATAAAGCACTGGACACTATATAGAGTAAATTTGGTAAAACATGACGGATATATATGGAATAGCAAATTAACGTTGTTTTCCTTATCCTTATTTTAATAGAATACATGTTTGTTTGTTTGTTTGTTTATACCAATCTAAGCCATGGCATTTTAAGATATATATATATATATATATATATATATATATATATATATATATGATATATCAATGATGAGAGCACTCAGTGGATTTCCAAATCAAAATAGTGTATTCAAATGGTTGCCAATATGGATCAACGTTTTGACCAAACAGGTCTTTATCATGATCTTGATAAAGACCTATTCGTTGTTTTTTTTTATTTGAATATTACTATACTAGGTGGTGGTAGGAATAATACTGACGTTTTCAGTGTAATTGCAAAGATTCAAAGTGCCAGAATTGAGCCATTGTTGAGGAATATATATTATTGTTTTATGTAATATCTTGTGGATATTGTGTGTACATATAGACTTGTTTGTACATTCTCTTGCAATTTTAGGAGGCTTTATTGTTAACTATGTCTATAAGGGCCTGGTCTTATTTATATATCTATTTTGTATATACATGTTCAACTATTCTTCATCCTTTACATATATTTTTTAGGCAAAAACATTTCAGACGCAATACAGTATTTATTATCTTGCAGATTTTCACACAGAATCTGCAATATTAGCATGGAAACAAATATGTAACTTTTGTCAAATTTAAATTGTAACGGACCGTTTTGCACACAAGGGGTAAAAACCGTTTAGGCGATCGGCCCCCTTTCCAGAGATCCAGGCACAGCTACTGCAGAACACCAAAACTCACGAACTGGATACAAAATAGCACTCCAACCCCCGAACTGGAACCTCCCAAATAGCTGCTAGCAGACGAACAGGAAAAGCAGACGAACAGCTTACACTCCTGGCAATCAGTCTCCAACAGCATACAGTGAATCCCCCCAAGAACGAGACAAGGCTCCGTGTTGAGGGTCAAGCAGTGGTCTGAGGTGCTGGCACACCCAGCCTGGCTTTTATTACAGTGTTTCAAATACAGGACCACCCACAGGGAGGGATAAAACAACCAATCATATCACAGTTACATCCCACATATTCCCTCCCCTTATCCTGAGAGGAAACTCAATTATACAAACAGTTAAAACATACTTTCTACCCAACTTTCATAACTCCAAAACCATACATTACATTCACATAAAATTACATATTCTCAATCAATCCATTCAGGGGAACAACATATTCAAAAATGGCACAAATCAGACAAGGGGTTCAAAAGTTTGTAAAAAGTCCTTTGTGACTAAATGAAGCATGGCTTTCTGGCCCAAACCAGTTTCAGAGTCTTCTATCCTGGAGAGTAATTCAATTATCTCCCAGGACAGACACAAGACTCCATTAAGCACATGGTTGCAAAAAGACACAAAACACTTTAAAAATACATAAAGTCACATTTATTACATAAAACACAGACATGTAACATATCCCCAGATAGCTCAGGTCCGAGCGCACATTATTAAGCGAATGGCGCTCAGACCACACGAATACAGTTTAATCACCATGGAGCCAAAGTCTTTACAGTCAGTTTCATACAAATGGGCTCCATGGGATTCCTATCTGGGGTATAACATATTCAAACAAATCTACTGAACCCCAGGCAGAAAAGCACGAATACAGCTTTTCTGCAGGCAAAAATAAAGTCTTTTAAAAGGGGGCCATAGTCCAAAGGCAGCAGGTGAGCAACCAGGCTTCTCCAATGCAATGTGGCGAGATTGGTCTCGTCACATCTCTCCCCTTTTCCAAACAGACTAACAGGGTATCTGACCTCCTGCCGGTCAGTGCCCTTGTTAGTCCAGCAGCCCACCCACAACAAATAATCAACAGCACAGCTCACCCACAATAAATGGTTACTACACCTGGGTAAAGGAGAAGCTTGTCCATGTCCAGGTGCCTCACCACGGCTGGGCTGGGTACGGGTACGCTGACTTGGTGGGTTGCTGCGTGGGCAGAGACCAGCGGCACTCTGCCCTGTTGCCTGCGCTACTGGGAGGGTAGCCTGGTGGAAGCCTGGTTGTTGGAGGGGGAGACCGACTGTCTCCCCTTTAAATACACCGCTCTGCTGCTGCTGCTGGAGACTGACTGTCTCCCCTTTAGATGCACAGTCCTGCTGCTGGAGACTGACTGTCTCCCCTTTAGATGCACAGTCCTGCTGCTGGAGACCGACCGTCTCCCCTTTGGTTACCCATCTCTGCTGCTGGAGGGGGAGACCGACTGTCTCCCCTTTGGCTAAACAGCCCTGTCGCTGGGGGGCAGAACCGACCGTCCCTACCCCCTGTGCTGGCAGTGTAGAGACTATGGTCCCATCTGCACAGTTGTGGGGCTTACTGTCTCCCCCTGATACATTAAGCTGCCGCTGGGGAGAGGGGGTAACATGCTCCTCTCTCATACATACTTCCAGCTGCGGAGAAGGGAGACCGACTGTCTCTGCTCCCAATACAGAGTCCTGCTGCTGGGGAAAGGAGACTGGGCTCTCTATTCCCGGTAGGACACTCTGCCGCTGGGGAATGGAGACGGGGCTCCCAATTCCCAATAATCTGTGCTGCCACTGGGGAATGGAGACTGGGCTCCCAATTCCCAAAACATCATACTGCCGCTGGGGAATGGAGACTGGGCTCCCAATTCCCAAAAAATCACGCTGCCGCTGGGGAGGGAGGACACTGCTCTCCTCTCCCTGGACTTCACACTGCCTTCCCGGCATATCACTTGGCTGCTGGGGGCAGGAACAACTACCTCTGCCCCCTGTAACTCAGCCTGCCGCTGGGGAGGGAGGACACTGCTCTCCTCTCCCTGCACTTTACACTGCCTTCCCGGCATATCACTCTGCTGCTGGGGGGCAGGAACAACTACCTCTGCCCCCTGTAACTCAGCCTGCCGCTGGGGAGGGAGGACACTGCTCTCCTCTCCCTGCACTTTACACTGCCTTCCCGGCATATCACTCTGCTGCTGGGGGGCAGGAACAACTACCTCTGCCCCCTGTAACTCAGCCTGCCGCTGGGGAGGGAGGATACTGCTCTCCTCTCCCTGCACTTTACACTGCCGCTGGGGAATGGAGACTGGGCTCTCAATTCCCTGCAGGACCGGTGGAGAGACCTTGGTCCCATCTCTACCGGCCACCTGGGGTTCTTCCCAGTAAAACTGTACCATCTCGTCCCCTCTGAATGGGTCTGGCTCTGTCACCTTGCTGTCCTGCTGAATCTTCTCAATGGAGTGGAAGAGATCTCGGTAGTCCTGCTCCAGTTCCCACTCCAGGGTTGCTAGGTGAGCCAGGTCTTGCTCAATGTCGTGAGTGTCGTCCCAGTCATACCTGCTCTCCCTCCACTCCAAGAGATCACTGAACCGGGCTTGTGTAGGGCTCCCAAATTCAGGCTCTGAAAAAGCCTCCCATAACAAGCCAGGACCATCAAACTCCTCTCCCTCTGGCTTGTCATGCTCAGCTGTCCAGAGTATATAGTGTGCCATATACCACCAGAGCGCCTGGTAGGCATCCTCCAGCCATAGCTCCTGCCATACCCGATGCTCTAGTTCCTTCACCCATTCCTCCAGGGGCTGCTCTCCCAGGAAGGGCATCCGCAGGGCCACTTGCTTCTGCAACCGCTGCTCTTCACTGGGGAGACTCTCACCCCGCTGGTATTGTACATTATCCAGGGCCTGGTACCAGATGCCTTTCCTTAATGCATCCCGGCCATCCAGGTCCTCCTCCTTGTATAACACTGCTGGTTCCATTCTGGTGCTTTTAGGGTCGCTGTACTGGGACATGCGTTGCCCCCACTTGTAAATCCAAAGAAATGGTGTCTCCTGTAGCTGTCCTTCTGGCTGTAGGAACGATCCCGCCGCTTGCCACCAATTGTAACGGACCGTTTTGCACACAAGGGGTAAAAACCGTTTAGGCGATCGGCCCCCTTTCCAGAGATCCAGGCACAGCTACTGCAGAACACCAAAACTCACGAACTGGATACAAAATAGCACTCCAACTCCCGAACTGGAACCTCCCAAATAGCTGCTAGCAGACGAACAGGAAAAGCAGACGAACAGCTTACACTCCTGGCAATCAGTCTCTAACAGCATACAGTGAATCCCCCCAAGAACGAGACAAGGCTCCGTGTTGAGGGTCAAGCAGTGGTCTGAGGTGCTGGCACACCCAGCCTGGTTTTTATTACAGTGTTTCAAATACAGGACCACCCACAGGGAGGGATAAAACAACCAATCATATCACAGTTACATCCCACATATTCCCTCCCCTTATCCTGAGAGGAAACTCAATTATACAAACAGTTAAAACATACTTTCTACCCAACTTTCATAACTCCAAAACCATACATCACATTCACATAAAATTACATATTCTCAATCAATCCATTCAGGGGAACAACATATTCAAAAATGGCACAAATCAGACAAGGGGTTCAAAAGTTTGTAAAAAGTCCTTTGTGACTAAATGAAGCATGGCTTTCTGGCCCAAACCAGTTTCAGAGTTTTCTATCCTGGAGATAAGTAATTCAATTATCTCCCAGGACAGACACAAGACTCCATTAAGCACATGGTTGCAAAGAGACACAAAACACTTTAAAATACATAAAGTCACATTTATTACATAAAACACAGACATGTAACATATCCCCAGATAGCTCAGGTCCGAGCGCACATTATTAAGTGAATGGCGCTCAGACCACACGAATACAGTTTAATCGCCATGGAGCTAAAGTCTTTACAGTCAGTTTCATACGAATGGGCTCCATGGGATTCCTATCTGGGGTATAACACATTCAAACAAATCTACTGAACCCCAGGCAGAAAAGCACGAATACAGCTTTTCTGCAGGCAAAAATAAAGTCTTTTAAAAGGGGGCCATAGTCCAAAGGCAGCAGGCGAGCAACCAGGCTTCTCCAATGCAATGTGGCGAGATTGGTCTCGTCACATAAATGTTAATACAAAATAGATAAATAAATAAGACCAAGCCCTTATTTACATAGTTAACAATACAGTCTCCTAAAATTTCAACAGAATATACATACAAGTCTATATGTACACATAATATCCACAACAAATTAGGTAAAACAATAATTTATAAAATATGTGCATTTGCAAAGTGATACCTGTGCTAATCTCTATATTGCTAAAGGTGACACCAGAGCATTCTCTACCTCTCCCTGACTGAATTAAGCAATACATTTTTTTTCCTCTGAATATTACTATACTATGTGGTAGGAATGAGACTGACATTTTCAGCCTATTTGCAAAGATTCAAAGTGCCAGAATTGAGCCATTGTTGAGGAATATGTTTCTCTCTAAGGTGAATGTTTCTCCAGGAGTATAAAGTAAAATAACTGGGACTTTATTGACTAAATTTCATCTTGTATTGTTTTGCAAAACTAAAATATACATATACAATTTCGTTATTGAATTCCCTATACCAATTTCACTTAAAATAAATCCGTCTATACAAAGGCAACCAAGACTTTAATGATGCCTTGCAGCAACTGCTGACTGTTTGGTGCACATACTGATAAATCTGCTGTGAGGCAAGAGGGATCAGAATATGTGTATCTGATTGTAAAGGTATAAGTACAAGTCTAATTTTAATTTTATAAACCATACTTAAAATGATTAGTGTCACTTTAAAGGGACACATGTTGACCCTTCATTTATTTGAATACATTATGAAAATAATACTTTGAAAGTGTTATATATATATACTTTGAAAGTGTTATATATAAGTGGAATACATTGCGGCTGTACTCTGGATAGGCAGCAACATGTCTCTGACGCATGACACATGCACATTACTTCCCAAACTGATATTAGTATTGTATATATATACAAAATATTATAAGACCTCTGTTGTTCATACAGCAACCTCAAGGAGGTGACTAAACAATGGTCAGGCTGTAAATTGCCCACCATACAAATGCACACATCCCAACTGCTGGAGTACTCTCTGCATGGTCCTAGTAACGCTGCATAGCACAAACACATTGAATGATGCTCTTGCACTGTGCTGCCCAAAGGCAGTTCCCTGGTTTCTCCAGATGTGGAACACCAGGCGTCTAAGGAAAGACAGGACCCCCAAATCAGGACTGCCCCACCAGGGGCTATGCAAAATACCCACTGCTAAAGTCCACCTTGATTGAGGCACTGGCAGCAGGGAAAAAGAAGTAGGCATCATGAATTGCTTTGTGGCTGAGATTTTAATGGGAAAAGACCTGGTAGACCATACCTCTGCTGTTGCATGACTTGAAAATTATAGTGTTATCTGTGTTATTTGAGGGTGAAACATTACAGTCTGTGGACCTGTTGGAAGAGAGCATAATCACTTGCGTCTGTAAGTTAAAAAAGACCGAGTAGAAAAAGAAAATGACACCAGCCTGGGAGAAGTAGCCAGATAAGATGACACCTAACAGTTAGTGGAGGGCAAAACTTCACCCTGAAGAATCACTGTGGTGATTCCTGGTGCCAGAGTAGCAAGGACAAATGACATAACACAAGACATTTCCGGATCCCAAACAGAAAACCAGTCACCCTGTTTTCACTACAGTGTACAGGTAAAAAAAAAAAAAACAACAACAAACTAAACAATCATGTGCAGGTGGTGATGGATTTATATAGATTCCACGTGTCTACTGGATTATGGGTTTATATACGCAATTGTTTATTTATATGGCACATAGCAAGCTGTTGGTATACTTTTACATATCTCTCCTATTATTATTATTATTATTATTATTATTGACATTTATATAGCGCCAACAGATTCCGTAGCGCTTTACAATATTTTGAGAGGGGGGATGTAACAATAAATAGGACTATTACAAGAAAACTTACAGGAACAATAGGTTGAAGAGGACCCTGCTCAAACGAGCTTACAGACTATAGGAGGTGGGGTATTAGAAACATTAGGACAGGAAATATCAAGTAGGAGTGAAGCAGAGCTGGAGGAGAGAGCAAAGCACTATCCCATAGGAGAGAGCAGGAGACAGGTATGTAAGGTAGAGATTACTCTGGGAGGCCATAAGCTTTCCTGAAGAGATGGGTTTTAAGGCCCTTCCTAAATGATTGAAGACTAGGGGAGAGTCTGATGGCAGTAGGCAAGCTATTCCATAGGAGAGGAGCCGCCCGCGAGAGGTCCTGCAAGCGCAAGTTGGCCGTACAGGTGCGAGCAGCGGTCAGGAGGTGTTCACGGACAGAGCGGAGGGTACGAGCATATCTATGGATTAGTGAAGAGATATAAGAGGGGCTAGAATTGTTCAGTGGTTTAAATGTATGGGTTAGCACTCTGAATTGACTCCTATGGCATGCAGGGAGCCAATGTAAGGACTGGCAGAGGGGTGAGGTGTGAGAGAGACCGACTAAAGAGGAAAATCAGTCTAGCTGCAGCATTCATTACGGAGTGTAGCGGGGCAATACGGCTTTTGGGGAGACCAATCAGGAGAGGGTTACAGTAATCCATGCGGGAAATTACTAGAGCATGGACAAGCTCCTCGGTAGCATCTTGTGTAAGAAAGGGGCGGATGCGGGCTATGTTTTTGAGTTGGAACCTACAGGACTTGGCAACAAACTGGATGTGAGACTCAAAGGTGAGACCAGAGTCAAGTATGATTCCAAGACAGCGTGCTTGCAGGGATGGACTTATGTGGATATCACTGACTTGAAGGGAGAGCAAGAGAGGAGGATCAGTATTAGGAGGAGGAAAGACAAGGAGTTCAGTTTTAGAGAGGTTACGTTTCAGAAAGTGTGAGGACATCCAGTCAGAGATGGAAGAAAGGCAAGCAGTGACATGTTGCAGGACGTTTACCAAGAGAGGCAGTATAAAGAGAAAATAGAAGGGGACCAAGGACAGACCCTTGGGGAACTCCAACAGAGACAGGACGACGGGAGGAGGTATCCTTGGAAAAGGAGACACTGAATGAGCATTGGGAGAGATAGGAGGAAAACCAAGAGAGGACAGAGTCACAGAGACCGAGCGATTGAAGAGTTTGAAGGAGGAGAGCATGATCAACAATGTCAAAGGCAGCAGAGAGGTCAAGGAGAATTAATATGGAGTAGTGACCTTTGAATTTAGCGGAGATTAGGTCATTAGTCACTTTGATAAGAGCAGTCTCAGTAGAGTGGAGAGGGCGGAAGCAAGACTGAAGAGGGTCAAGGAGAGAGTTGGAATTAAGGAAGCGAGACACACGGGTAAAGACAAGTCTTTCCAAAAGCTTTGATGAGAAAGGGAGCAGGGATATGGAATGATAGTTAGAAGGGGAGGATGGGTCAAGAGATTGTTCTTTTTTAATTATTACAATTTCACAAAGTGCTCAGCTTATTGAAAAAGAAATGTGTTTTTTTCCCCACACATTTTATATTACTTTAGTGTACTTACTCTGTAAAGTAAATGTTTAAAATACAACAAAATAAAAATATGCAATTGTTTATTTCAAATATATTTTATTGTATATATAGCAGGCAGATCTTTTGCAGAGATTCCATACTAAGAGGTTTTCTGGAAGTAACTTCCATAGTCCTGGAGCTCTGTTTTAGAATGGATGTTAAGGAAGTTGGGGGGAGGGGACTGGTGACCGGGCTTTAGCTTAAAGTGGGCCCTCAATGATAGCATTTCCCAAATAGACTGTGCAGGATTCCAGCTGTAGACAGCAGGATGCAAAATAGGTGAAGTATAAATGCTTTATATATTTACATTAAAAAATCCACACTGGTGGGGCAGAGATGAGCAACTGAACAGAACGGTCACATATCTGTTGAGCTCCGTAACACGAGGCCTAATTCTATCAATATACCCAACATTTACCCCATACCAGCTGATCTCAACTGGATCCCTAAGAAGCCCACACAGCAATGGGTCGAAAGACCAAGAAACAGAAGGCAGACAAGCTGAGATTGGGCATGAACATAGGTGACCTATGGCGGTAAGCGCAAGGCACCCCACAACCCGAAAATGGCATCCTACCTCAAAGAGAGCTCCGACGTCTTGGATGACCAAACCCTGAGGCCTAATGACCTCCACCTACTTGCCTTACATGCACCGACATCCACTCTGGTACCAACCTCATCCAAACTGGACTCACCACTAGTAACCAAGGTCGACATGCAGGAATTGCTGGCAGCCTCAGACGGAACATCCAAACGGATGTATCTATGCTCCGCAAAGACATACAAGGCCTGACAGGTTGCATGGACGCACTGGATGATGACTCACACAATGCTAAAAAGCAAATCACTCAACTGCAACAGGAGCTGCACACACTTCAATGGCAGCATATTACCCTCGAGCAGTGGTTCACATCGATGGAGGACTCCAGACGCAGCAAAAACCTTAAGATTAGATGGGTTTCAGAGGGGTATCAGAGGTCTCAGATGCAGAACTACTGCACTTTATAAGACACCTCTTATTCCACAGACAGGCGAAATCGGTGGCAATTGATGGATTGCTCAGGATTCCTAGACCGGCCAAAGCTCCTGTCACATCAGCTCTCAATAGCCCCCACCCCCAACAACCTCAGCGTAAACCCCTCAACTCAGAAGGAATCTGAGTTCTATAAACCTCCAGCAGCTGTCAGCTGATATTGATTCCCAACTACTATCCATTCCTGCCTTCTCATGTCCCTCACTGGCTATCTCCTCATATAACTCTACCCTCACCTCAGCCCTGGATGCTGCAACCCCTCTCCAAATACGCACCTCGAGGAGAATACACCCCCAAACGTGGCACACTAAATCAACACGCTACCTGCAGAGATGTTCCCGTTCTGCTGAACGCTGCTGGAGGACGTCTCACACCAAGTCAGACTTTCTACACTACAAATTCATATCGCGTTCATACAGCGCAGCCCTTGCCCTTGCCAAACAGTCATACTTTTCTTCTCTTATTAGCTCATGCTCTCACAATCCCAGGCATCTCTTTGATACCTCTAACTCTCTTTGCCCTGCTACGGCCACCACCCAAACTAACCTTATAGCCAATAGTTTTGCATGCTAATTTACTGACAAGATTGAGCAGCTTAGGAAAGAATTCTCACCACCTTGCCCCTCACTTTCTCAACCGCACCTGGATCATGCCTCTCCAACCCTTCCGACCTTCTCCCAGGCTACTGAACAAGAGGTGGATGCTCTTATCCTTTCCTCTTGCCCCACCACTTGCCCGCTTGATCCTGTCCCATCTCACCTTATCAGATCTCTCTCCTCTTGTCTTGTGCCCTCCTTAACACACATCTTCAACTGCTCTCTTACTTCTGGCACTGCCCCTGCTGTCCTTAAACATGCTACTGTAGTACCTTAAAAAAAACATGTCTCAACCCATCCTCCCCTTCTAACTATCGTCCTATATTCCTGCTCCCTTTTTCCTCAAAGCTTCTTGAAAGACTAGTCTTTACCCATCTGGCCTGCTTCCTCAACTCCAACTCTCTCCTTGACCCTCTTCAATCCGGCTTCTGCCCCCTCCACTCTACTGAGACTACCCTTATCATAGTCACTAAAGACATTATCACAGTTAAATCCTAAGGTCACTACTCCATACTAATTCTTCTTGACCTCTCTGCTGCCTTTAACGCCGTTGATCATGTTCTCCTTCTCAAAACTCTTCAATCACTCGGTCTCTGTGACTCTGTCCTCTCATGGTTTTCCACCTATCTTATATCTTACCCAACGCTCATTCAGTGTCTCCTTTTCTTATGATACCTCCACCATTCGTCCTGTCTCAGTTGGAGTCCCCCAATGCTCTGTCCTTGGTCCCCTTCTATTTTCTCTTTACACTGCCTCTCTTGGCAAACTTATTACCTCATTTGGATTCCAATAGCACCTGTACGCTGATGACACCCAGATATATCTCTCCTCCCCAGACCTCTCCCATGATGCCCTGCAATGTGTCACCTTTTGCCTTTCTTCTATCTCTGATGTCCTCCCACTTTCTTAAACTGAATCTTTTTCCGAAACAGAACTTCTTGTCTTTCTTCCTCCTAATATTAATCCTCCTCTCTCGCTCTCCCTTCAGATTGGTGGTACCCATATCAGCCCATTCTTACAAGCACATTGTCTTGGTGTTACTTTTGATTCTGGCCTCACCTTTGAGCCTCACATCTGGTCTGTTGTCAAATCATGCCAATTCCACCTTAAAAACATCATCCGCATCCGCCCCTTTCTTACACAAGATGCTACTAAAGAGCTTGTCCATGCTCTAGTAATCTCTCGCATGGACTATTGTAACGCTCTCCTAATTGGTCTTCCCAGCCCACTAAGTCTGTAATGAATGCTGCCGCCAGACTGATTTTCCTCTCTAGTCGGTCCTCTCACACCTCACCCCTCTGTCAGTCCTAACATTGACTTCTTAGCACAGAACAATCTTAGCCCCTCTTATATCTCCTCACTGATCCATAGGTATGCCCCTTCTCGGTCTCTCTGCTCTGCCCGTGACCTTCTTCTGTTCGCTGCTTGCACCCGTACGGCCAATTCGCGCTTGCAGGACTTCTCGCGGGTGGCTCCCTTCCTATGGAATAGCCTGCCTACCGACATCAGACTCTCCCCTATTCTTCAATCATTTAAGAAGTACCTTAAAACCCATTTCTATAGGAAAGCCTATGGCATCCCAGATTAACCTCTATTTCACATACCTGTCTCTTGTTCTCTCTTAAAGGGCAGCTCTCTACTCTCTCCTCCAGCTCTGCTTCACTCCCACCTAATTTGATTGCTATTTTCTGTCCTAATGTGTTTTATACCCCACCTCCTATAGACTGTAAGCTCGTTTGAGCAGGGCCCTCTTTAACCTATCGTTTCGGTAAGTTTTCTTGTAATTGTCCTATTTATAGTTAAATCCCCCCTCTAATAATATTGTAAAGCGCTACGGAATCTGTTGGCTCTATACAAATGGCGATAATAAATAAAAAAAATAAAACATTTTCAAGGGACTTGATTGTGCGCTTCCAGACTGGACAGGACAAGGCTGTTGTAATTGGTGCTCTCAGGGGGCAATCTCCCTACAACGTTGAGAACTCACCTCTTACCTTCTATGTAGATTTATCCAACTCATCATCTCCTCCAGGGACACCTAGTCACATTGCCCTTCACCACCGGGCTATTATTTGAATGCCCCCTGTGGAGCCCCTAAACACCAAGGAGCCTACATAGGCCTCTTTTACTACCTACATTACCAGGTTCCATAGATCCCCTAGTACTGTTATTGACCATCCCATACTACTGTCACACCACAGTAGATCCCTAACTTAAGGCTCTCATTAAGCCAACCCCCTCTCCCCCAGGTTCGAGGGTAATCATACCGCCACCAAGACCAAAGCTGTCACTGGAACCCGATACATTAATCAGTGATCTATTACCGAGCACACAACTAATTTATTTTTCTGAATTCTCTCGCAATCTCTCTATTGATTCTCGTGTAAACCGTCATACTGTATTCTCTTACAAATGCTCTTAAAAATTGTGCAGCTGTATATCTTGCACTTACTGAATTTAATATGCCTATTCCTTGATTTTTACAGAGTGCACATAATTCACTCTTTGTTATTACAGTGCACAACAAAATTAAAGAATTTATAAAACATTAAAAAAAAGCCTTACTGGTGATGAAACTTTATAAATAATAAGCAAATAAAGAGTCCCAATGCCTTCTGGATTTCCAATATGTGTTTTACTGTTCAAGCTCCTTCAGTTGGCAATTTATTTGTCCAACTAACACTGCATTCAGCATTGCTGCAGAAGTAATATGCAGAAGTCGATAAACCTTATGTCAAAACTTATAAACTTCTTTAAATGTGGTGGGCTCCAGTCAGAGTACTTTATAAATTGAATGAACATTAATATTGTGAATATTAATGCAATATTTCCATGGTTTTTTGATAGCCAGATGGCCATTGTAACTATGTTAAGGCAATTATCTGATACCTCCAAGGTTCCCATTCTATATTATCATTATAATTGAAATGTCTTTAAAACCAATCCTCCATTTAGCACTAGTACTACGGTCTATAAAGAATGATCTGCAAACTATTTGACATTATATGGATTATTTTAAATTATTTGGTACTAAATCTTATAAATTATAAAGGGAAATTCAAATAATAAATATAAAAATTAATAGAATTTAAAATATATATATATAAACTAATACTTAAACTAAAACATAATATATTTATATTCTAGAAAATATATACCTTAGAATATAAAGAATATGTAATGAAAATATCAGAAAAAAAGTAAATATTAATCAGAAAAATTAGTAATAGTTTAAATAATATTAATTATACCAAAAACTAAAGATTAAATAAACTAATGGAAAAAAAATTAATCTTTTATATATATATATATATATATATATATATATATATATATAGTGTTATTTATTTCCACTGGAGCAGCAAAGAAAGGTGAAGGAAATTAGGGATTATTCTCTGTATAGACTATGCTGGATGCTGATTGGCTACTGAATATTCCATTTTAGTTATTTGACAATTTTTCCTTCTATTGTTCACTAAACTGTATTGGAATGTAGTTGCTGATGTAGTTAAGTAAAGGTTTTTGCATAATATGAGCCTCCTGTCTTTTATAGAACTGAAAATTCTATAGCACCAATCCTCCATTTAGCAGTACTACTGCAGTCTGAAAAGAATGATCTGCAAACCATCTGACATGCATGGATTATTATTTTAAATTCTTTGGTACTCAATCTATTGTTGAGTTATACAATTTAACATCTTGTTTACCCTCTGATTACAGACAAGGTTGCAGAAGACACAAAGCAGACTAAATACCCTTAATGATGGAGGATGAGAATCTATAAATCTTAATTCTGGAAATTTTACTTCATTAACTTCATTCACTTCAGGAGTGTGACACATTTCTCTTGCCTCAGGTCCAATAATTTATTCACAATCTTCTTCATTTAGGGGAACTTGTAAGTCAGGTATTTGAAATATTACTCGGAACCTTACTCTTCTGAAATTCTCCATATATTTAGACAACAGTATAAATTGACATAGTAGGTACGAAATTAAATATGTCTTCAAATGGAACTCTATGACACCATGCTCTGATTCATTTGAGTATATGTCAGTGATTTACTTACAGCATTAGTTGAGATTTATATACATTATATTTTTTCTAACACTGGCCTCGATTTATATTTTTGGATAAGCTTTTCAAATGATATGAGATTTTTGGAAAAACTTTAATTTTTAGAAAATATTTAGTATATATATATATATTTACAATATTTTAAAAGTATATGATTTTAATGATTTAATACTTTAAACTAACTGTTTTTTATTTTATATATATTTTATATATATATTTACAACCTTTTAAAAGTATATGTAAAAATATTAAATCCTTTGAAAAAGCTTATCCAAAAATATTAAATTAAGGCATTTGTTGGAGCACTCTAAAATTTTAATAGTTATGGAACTCCAATAACTTTTGTTTGTTTTAGTTTGTTTTATGTTTGTTTTAGTTGACTGCCTACGTACTCAATGTTCTGTTTTTGTGTGTTGATGATTATCCATAAACTCATTCATTTCATTAGAAACTACCAAGAATATTGCAAAAAAAAAACTATTTCTCACTTTGACACATCATAGTATTGTTTTTTTTCTTGGTACAATGTTAGCCAGTTAACTAAATTAGAGTAAAATAAAACACTGTGTAAGTGATACCTTTATTGGCTGATGAAAGATGTTTGTTGGAAAAACAGACATATTTATACATAGTTTACAAGAAAAATAAATAAAAACAAATTCACATATTTAGGATGAAATAGTTTGTGATGGAAAATGATCAAAAGAAACTGGCACAACTGGACAGTGATATATTCCTTCTAACAAGATGCAAACAGAAGATCTTATCCCTAGAGGTTTAACACTCACTGTACAATACCCAATATGTGAAACAAATGTGTACCAGAACATCAGAAAGACTCCTGAACCATCTTTTCAGAGTTTGCTACAAGAGCAAAACAATTACAGAAAGAGAAGTTGCTCTCAACAACACACTACATAGAACTGGAACAGAAGAAGTAAAAGTTTGACTTAAGCAATATTACAGAGCTACTACAGTTTCTGGTCTACAACAAAACAAAGAATATCAACAAACTGTGACTAAAACCCAGAGGATCAGAGAACAACTCAGCCGTGTAGTCACACTGCACAACAACTAGAGAGGAACACTAAATACACTCCAAAGGACTTATTTCTGTCCCACAAAACCTCTAGACAAAACAGAACTCTGCAGCAACTTGGAAGACATGGTCATACTTCAGGAAAGATTATTCCTCAAGGAATATGTCTTTGATAAGAAGGAGTTGGAACCATTTTGCAGAAGGAAGCAAGAAATCATCCCCCCAAGAAAGAACTTAAATTAAATCCCCAACTGTGGACACAAACCACAACTGGAAACATACACCGGTGCATTTAGAAATATGGTTATTAGCAAATTCTGCACCAGAGTACATCCTAATCAATCAAAAAGAGAATGCAATAAGGTAACTGTAGTGGAGCTCCCTGTACACCGGCTAGGTACCTCCGCCCAGGATCGCTTTCTAGCTGGAACCGGGGAAAACTGCTGCTCTTCTGCCCCAGTCATCATGGCTTTACTGGGGTCCTTCTGGAGCTTTTCCACCCAACCAGACTGCAGCTCTTCTTCCAGGCAGGTATCATCCCTTCTGCTTATTCCGCTGCAACACTTCTTCCAGGCAGGTATCGCCCCCTCTGTCTTTTCCGCTGCAGCCTTTCTTACAGGCAGGTATCCACCTCTGCCTGCAATGTGATTTCTATTGCCTTTACAAAAGCACTTTCGGCTCTCAGGCCTTGCTCTCATGATTTATCCCAGGGCTAGAGGGATCATGCAGCCAGTCAACAGGCACGACAACTCTGTGGCTGGGATCCCCAAAAAATCCACACAGTACACCGTTCTTAATGGAACTAACATACAATACTTTATTTTACTTGGGAACAACCCCATACATTCATTACATATATATTGCTGTGCCAAACATAATAAAATTAAAATAACCAAAACATGTCACAAAGTATATAGGAAATTATAATAGCATAATAACATATTCATAAAGGGATGGGGAAGAAATTAATTAACAGAATTAGCAATATGCAAATCTACCCAAATATGCAAATTAGCAATCCTTGCTATTCAGGTAGTGCATACAGCGGTTGCTAGATCCATGCAACCAACAGGTGGCACTGTATAGTCTCCACAGCCAAATCCACCGAGTTGATTGCAAGCATTAGCAAGACAGGAGAACACACTAACATTTAACCTCAAACAACCACATTACATACACACGCACACCCTGCATCCACAGTGGACACAGGGTGACTTAAACATAGGAATAGTCCAGGGTCCTACATAAAAGGTCCTTATGAAACCCCAGGTGATGGTGACTACCGTCACAGTAACTAAAACAAAACATATAGACATATATAATAAAAGATATTGCCATCAGAAGCAGACAAAGGTGGGGCACTTGTAATCATGGATAGAAGTGGCTTTAATAAGAAAGCACAGAAACAGCTCTCCAACACCGTATGCTATAGAAAACAACAGGAGGATCCAACACTATAATTTTTTATAAAAATCAGACATATAATCAGAAAAATCCCCCTTTAACTAGCACATATTCATTCACTTATATCAGACTCATCAAAACAGGGTACTCCTACATGCTGCAAAAAATGCATAACCAAGAAGACCAATAATATCTAGAGTCGGAACATTCACTGAAAACATCTCTGGGTGGGTGGAAAATATCCTGAAACACTTGTTAAGGAGTACAGCCAGCTATGTTCAAGACGGTGAATGCCTGCCAAGAAGCAAAAAAAATCTTAGACCAACACAACATGCTTAAAGAGAAAAACCAGATGGAGTCAAAGCGCGTAAGAATATCTGCAGTGCTGCTGCACTACCCCCAAGTGACAGACAGTGACATAAATTAGCAATACATACCAGAAAGTTGGAGTGCGCCAGCAACTGCACTGGAGTCAGGATCTTCTCTGAGTACTCTGAAAAAATATACAGTATATAGCGCAGACTCCATTGGAGCAATTCAAACCCAGAGCCAGGGGTGATAGGGCTCTGATCCATGTGAGTTGATCCCCAGATATACTTTTAATTTTGCATACCCTGATAGTCTGCACTATATACTGTATATTTTTTTAGAATACTCAGAGAAGATCCTGACTCCAGTGCAGTTGCTAGCGGACTCCAACTTTCTGGTATCCAACACAACATGCGCATGGAGAGCATTATACATCTGGCTGAGTTTATAAGCACACACAACTATTTCTCCTTTGGAAAAGATATATATATTTACAAGAGACTGTGAATGCCATGGGGGCACATTTTGTATCCTAACAGGGAAACCTATTTATTACAAAACTTTAGAATAGCTTCCTTTACCTGCAACATCAAATCCCAGCCCTACTTCTGCTACATTGATGACATTCTGATAGTTTGGACAGTGGGTGAATAAATTCTCCTCCAGTTCCATTAAAGATTTAATAATTTTCACAGCCAAACTCAGCTTTAACATCTCCATTACACATTCTCATTTTTTTAGATATCATCATCTAGGTACAAGAGTGTACAATACAGACATCTCTATACCACAACCAACTTTCATACATCAAATATGACAGCTTTGATCCCAAACATCGCAAGCACTCCATCATTGACAGTCAAGCAAAAAAGTACAGTAAAATATGCCCATAAAGCTCTCTCAGGGACAGAAATCTGCAACCACCGAAGAGAGTGTTCAATTCATAACATACAGTTACCCAACAACAATCATAGACAAACAAATTCACAGATCTGTGAAAATACCCTGAACAAAACCCCTGGAATATAAACCAAAACCTGAAAAGTACCTTTTGATATAACATACAACCTATAATTCAAGGTACTAAAGACAGTTGCCAAATACATACAGCCTATCCTCCTAAGAGATAACAGACTAAAAGTGGTGTTTAAAACCCCTAATCCTCTCACAGGTAACTCCTAAATCTTAAAAAATGATTGTTAAAAGCCTCCAGTAACACAGACACATTCCCCTGTTAGCAAAAGAAGGTGCGAGATTTGTTCACACATTCTTCTCACTGAAATAATTCAACCATCCAAAAAACAAAAGGAATATAGAATTTGAGAACCCTTCATCTGCACCTCAATAAACATAGTTTTTATTTAGAGATGAAGGACATTATGCTGTGGAGACAGGTGAGAAACTGTGCAAAAGAAGGGGACAACATATGGGGGTAATAACGTTTTGGCTGGTCTGTTTTTTTTCTTAATTTTACAGTTACATAATCTACCAAGATATTTTAGCCAATAAGAAATGGTGCAAGTAAAATTAAGGTCCTCTCCACTTACAGAAGACGAGAAGAAAAGCAACAAAATAAATAAGACTAAATGCCAAATGACTCAATATGTATCTGTGTTGAGTCCCGTTCATGTTTTAATTCCCTGCCCGATTTCTTATTTGACTTAATAAGTCACTCACCAAGCAAGTATTTGGACTAGTGGGATTGGATCTAGGCTGTAGCCACCCTTTATTGCATTGCTATTTCTTCAGGTACCTCACGACTACATTAAAAAAAAGCTATGAATAATATTATACTTATTTTAAAGGTAATGCAGAACAGATATGCACTACACACACTAAAAAGCTTTAGCAAAAACTACTGCTGGATTAGATTTGCACAAATATGATAGCAGTGAAAACCTGGCAGGTAATCTATTACTGCCAGGGAATAAGTTTAACCCTCTACAAGTCATATAAAATGACTATTCACTAATAAACAGAAATGGTAAACAAACTGATTTGAAGAAAATGCCATATAATTAGCCTATTGGAAATGTCTGTTTTTGACAGCCTGATAATGGTTTATGGCTTCATTACAGTGCATTGAAACAACAGTGTGCTGTAATTATAATTGAGTTTTACACAAGAACAAGGAAGGCTCGACTAACAGCAAACAGCGTTCTATAGCTTGCCCTGAATAAGATGATGCCCACTCAGTAACACGTCAAATAGTTATGCTATTTTTACAACTATATGGTATCTACAGGAATTTAGAAATTATGTTCAAAATGTTGATACAATGTATTTATGTATAATGAACTTGGGCAAACACTTCAGTAGATCCTTGGCATAATTCTTCTACAGAGACAGCTAAAATATTTAGTCACAGCCAATAAAATAGTAATAACAATAAGAACAGGTTTTTTTTTTGTTTAAGGCACACCGGTGATTTTTGAAAACACAATGCTTTGTCAAATAATAAATGACGTTCATTTTAGACAAAAAGACTCACTAGATACCTCTTAATTTACCCTGTGTACATTTTACATTTTGGTTTGCTTATAAAGGTATGAGATTCTATATTATTGAAAAACATTGTGCAATGTTATATGGTGTGATCTCTGACATTATAAAGGTTAAGGCATTTTGGGAAGGCAAGAATATATATGTAAAAAAATGTTACAGTGCCCCTCATATGAAGCACCCTTTTGAATCTCGAACCATAAAACCTTTATTCTCAATATGTTCAAAAGTCAATTTTCCCAAGAGTGCCTTCTTCTGTTTTGTGTACATTTTTAGTGGGGGTGTTATTGATTATACACACTGGCGGGTACCGATAACTGACATGTTTACTGGTGACAATTATATTTGTATTGTTGCCTCAAAAATATGAATGTATATTGAATACAATATTATTTCAAAATCAAAAATTTTCAAAGATAAAAAGCAAAATAAAAAAAATGATATACACATCTTATTAACAACTGCCTCTGGACTGCTACAACCTACAGCTGATGCTAGCTTGGAATGGACATAACATAATTTTGAATACATTGCAAACAAAATTTAAAAAGGCCAAAACAGCCAGTAGGGTTTTCAAAATATGATACAAGAATAGTATGTTTCCCACCCTTACAGGAATAGAAAACATGTGAAGTATTTTACTGGTTAAGGAACAATTATAGCTAAAGTATATAGACAAATCAGCAGTTTCTGACTTCACCCGTAATGAACACGGAGTGAAAAAAACAAAAACAACATAGACTGTGACCATTTGTCATAACAAAGGTTGCCCCAATCCAATTTTACACTTGATCAATGAGTTGATGAAGTGAGAGCCTTTTGATTATTTATACTGTGATGCAGTGAAGTAGTTATATTCAGGTACATTAATTATAAATCAAAATCACGACCAATCGAGGGTTATATTGAAAAGCATTTTTAAATTAATATTCTTAACAAATGGGATGCATGTTGCTCAATATTGTTCTTCATCACCATGGCAACTATATGGTTGTCAACGCTATCATACATTTTGTGTTATATATTTCTATCTTACCATTATTTTTATTGTTATTGACAGCAAGAGAAAACAAATGCTATTTTTAGCACTGTATGCGTACCTCTCCTTTAATTCGGTTTATTTGACAAGAGAGATTGACCACGGGGTGATTTGCCATAACTAGGATATAGGATTGCCTGTCAGTTATTGTCAATGAAGCTTTGGGGGATAAAGCCGCAGTGTTTTGATTGAACGCTATTAGCTGGGATTTTTACACCCCAAGCTATACACGGGTAGTATGATTAATTGCAAGTCTGGTATGAGCTATAATATTAATGCTCTGAAAGTATTGATATAGTTATAGACATCCCATATGCTTGCCTGTAGAACCAGGGGAAATATTGCTAGATTCACAGCCACTTGGTACTTTGACTGTAATGAGCAATGAGCAAACTGCTAAAAAATTGATGCCGCCTGCAGATTGCACAATCCACTGAACAGCAGGGGGTCAGCTTCTTACATCTTCTACTCCTGGTATAATATGCTAATTTCTGCTAGCGCGAGAGGGTAAAGGGAAAGAAGAAAAGATTTCACAAAAAGAAGAAAAAAAAATGCTAATGAAAATCACAAAGATGACTGCAGAGAAATCCTAGAGCTTTGTATGGATTAACTGTGCCAGAGATGTCCTTGTCAAACATTAACCCTTTTTTATTCCCTGAATCTATGTGCACTTCTCCCAGTATGCATACATCGAATGACACTGGTGAACTGGTTAAGGTGCATCCTTCACTGCAGATGTCTGACTGGATAACAGACGTGCTTGATTGTTAAGACATTACCTATCCACAATGCCAATCACCTTTTATCCTGTCCTATAAAATTAACAGGCAGCCTTACAAACATTTAAGGTGCGAAGCTGCTTTAATGGATGGATGTATTGGTTTTTTTTCCAAATAGACTCCATTAAATAAAAGTTTGTTTAAAAAATATGTGAGATTCTATTGTTAATATCTAAAAGGTGTCAATTTTAAAACACTGGCAATCATGATTATAACATGAATATTGTCACAAAATAACATACAAGCACATCTTCACACTGGTGAAAAAATATATAACGTGTATAGAAGAAAGTATGATATATAAAATAGTAAGATTTCAAATGCATGCGGCATTCTTTTCATTAGAATTTTTTTTGCAATCATGTAGAATTCAACCATGTAATTTCACTAGAAATGTGATATGCTGTTATTAAAAATAATAATTGTTTTTGTTTTTATCAGACCATTCATTAAAGCAGTAATATCCTAACATTGCTTATATACAACAGTATACGTATGTATTTTCTCACACAAATAGTAATGAACATACATACAAGATTTGGCTAAATAAACTTAAACACCTTTTCCATGATTTAAAACACCAAATTAGAACTGACAAACTATGTCCGTTTTTTCATCGGCCTAAAAACTTCACAGGCACAATATGCAGAAGTAATGCTGCACCACATTTGATTATCATTCACATCATCCAGAGTGCCTCGGAATATGACAAAGTGTTAGCATATCACTGCAATTTCTCCTATAGTTGAAATCTGTATGTCCATGTCAGACATGTTTACAGTCAAACAGCAAAAAACAATGGTTAGCATTTTATTGTACATATTTCTCATACTATGCCTTGAGAATGTAAAATGCTGGACAATTCAATAATTATAAAATTTTAATAAAGTCAACCATTTATAGTATGTGTATGTTTATATATTTGTGTTTGTGTGTAATATACTTAATCTTGAAGGATTTATTTTAGTTTCCGATTATTATTTTGATATCTAAATATCAAATTTTACAATCCAGTAAATGCTGTTTCATTTTATGTGGGATTTTAAGGGAAAAAATATAAAGCTATATGTACACTCCCTCCGTTTTATGGTGCCATATGTTCAACATAGGCTTACCTATAAAAATGAATATCATCAACGTTGTAAAATATTTAAGGATGATTGTAAGGAAGATGCTAAAGAAACACACGGTGCAATATAGACAATACAGTTAAAAAACAAAAGCATATTGAAACCAAGTGATATTGATCCCTGAGCAAGCAGGCCTGCCACAGTCATTCGATAGAGGCTATTCTGTATATATTTAATTTGTAATCTATTCACGCATACATGTTTTTTTTTTTTTTTAAGAGGACTTTGGCAGATGTTTGTATTGATTATAAATTGCAGTCATTTTGCACTTTTTATATTTTCTAAGTAAAATAACAAGAATGAGCTAATAATTTCAATATTTAGTTGAATATTTTAAAATCAAGACAAGCGATAGGTTCTGTTTAATGGTCAAATCCCTGCAAAATGCAGGGTTAAAAGGTACAAAGTTAAAAGGTACAAAGCATATTTGCTTGTGGCATTGGAACGCAGATGAAAAATAAAAGGATTCGAGATGGGGTCTGAAATGTACTGATAAATTGTTAATCCAAAGTGTGAACATTCTTCCAACTGGCTGTATAAGTTCCCATAGCTTAGAAACCGTACTGGATAGTAGACACACTAAGGATAAGCTCCATTTAATATTGGTGCGTGTGATCGTCTTTTGTGCTGCACCAAAACACAGTGGGATACAAGCTATAGGGAAGAAAAAACAGAAAAGTGACCATCCAAAAAAGAAAGAGTAAGAAAAAAAGAAATGAAGGTGGAATTAAAGAAAGTAGGGTTGATGAAAGCCTTTACAAGAACAATACGTATATATAAAGAATAAGAATGATGGGAAATCACGTAAAAAAGTGGAATATTTTAGAAATTAAAATAAAATAAATGTTATTATTTCACGATTAAACTTATTTAGAAAATTTTTATATCTAAAAGATTTTAGTTTGCACGTAGGCAATGAAGAAAATAAACAAAATATACTTAAAAAAAATAAATCAGGTTCTTTCTTTAATCTTTAAATGGGGTGATCAAGAGTTAACTCACATTGAGTGGGTTTAGAATCGATTTTAATTCCTTATTAATATATATATATATATATTTCCTATTCACATCTACGTAAAATTCTAAATACAATTAGAGCAATCAATACTTTTTAAATCTCGGTTTCAGTTCTGAAGGTTTTAAACTTGATTTTTAATTTGGTTTAAATTAATAATATATATTTTGTTTCACCAATTCCAAAATCACAAAAAAATTTTTTAAAGATATGGTGGAAATAAAAATATGTTTAATAAATATCCATTGTTGCACCTGCAATGCTGACCTTTTTTTGTCATTATTTATAAATAAAACTGCCCGCATAAGACAAAAGAGCATGCTATATTTTCATGAAGTACCACATTTTGTATATTTCTTGTGTGTTCATATATGTATATTTATTTATACAGATATATATATATATATATATATATACACCTTCTATTCTATATATAAACACACACACCTTCTATTCTTTTATTCTAGTATCTCCATTAAGAGACATTTCAAAAGAAAGACAATGTCCGACTGGACTCTTTAACTTTATATTATTATATTTTATTCTGATTTATTATTTTACTTTTATGTGTAATGTAATGTTGCTTTATCAGCACAATATGGCAAACACTATGTATTAGAGTTGTATTTTGCAATTTTACAATGAAAACAGGAATTTATTCCAGGCCAGTGCTGAGGAAGCTAAACATCAGGAATCAGGTTGGTAGTCAAAAACTTTGTGTTGTTAACCCCCTCTCTGCTCCAAGAGACTGGCAATCATTCGGTAAGTGAGGCAGAACCTTCTAGCAAAAGTCAAAGAATAGGTTTAACCAGCCAGAACATTTCATTGCGTTTGGTCCAGTGTTTGGAACACTTCATTCTAGATAATAAAGACATGCACTCTGTAACTGCTAACATAAGGAAGATTTATAATAAACCTCTGAACTGCCTTGTGAGGTTTTATGATCTATTACTTCCTTTACACCCAGAAGCTTCTTAGCACCACTTGTTCAGGACTGAATTACAGAAACCATGCTTTTTCCGTGTAGTGCGTACAAATATAACAAAAGATTCTATGCAGAGCAATTATCAAAAATGATAATTTCTGCTTCTTGCAGCATAGCAAATATGCCACTGCTTGGCTTTTCATAGTTAACTATCACTATAATTATTTTAATCTGCCAATGATACATCATTTTAGAATCAATTATTTGTGTATTCACCAATGGCAATCCTTTAAGGCAAATGTGAGAAAACATTCACCTTTTAACTATGAATTCTCAGAATTGTCAATAAATCTATACTGATCAATAAATGCACAGCAAAATAAAAGAAACACAAGCTCTGGTCAAAAAAAGAAAAAACAAACAAACTGATAAATACATCCATACAATAACTAAATATATTAAATGCCTGTAGCTTAAAGGCATGATATCACTATAATACAAGGGTATGTCCATATAAACAGTAAAGCAATAAGAAATACATAGATCAGTATGGAACAATCAGATTAACCTACATGTGGGCTTTACTAAAATGTTACCAAAACAGGTGATTACGGCAATACGACATGCAAATGTATGACTCTATAACACAACCATAGTCCGGAAGCGTGCTATATATGCATGGCAGAAAATGGTGAAAGGCAATGATAACTCTGGCTTGTGAAATAATTGCTAGTAAGAGTTATTATATACGTATCCAACAAGGAGAAGTAAAGGAATTCAGATATATATATATAGGTTCCCAGTAATAATTTTGCAAAATTTGAAGCAAACCATCTATCTAAAGGTATTTTAGTTAGCCTTCCCTTATAACTGAATGAAGGCAAAAGAAATATATATCCCAATGTGTGATTTATTTCTAAATAGAAGCTTGTACAAGCAACTTTACACTTTTATTTTAATCATATACAAAATAACAGCAGTCCAATTATTATTAAGGCATTTTTTTTTACTGCTTGTTATTTGCATTCAATATTAATTTTTAAAATGAGCATGTCAAGTTTGGGATATTTATATAGTATAGCAACACGGCAAATGTAAATTTAACATTCATTTTTTCCTTCTCTTTTATCGTGCAGTAACAGAGACATAAGAGAGACATATTACGCTAATCTATCTTTAACCTGTCCACTCTTATTGTTTATTTTATCTAAACAGCCGGTCCATATTAAGGTGAAGTTAGTATTCAACATGTATTTCTAATAATCTATTCGCAATCGTTTGACAACATAGGAAAGTGGACTGAAAAAAATATTTACGTTAACTCGAGTTGGGTGTTTGAAATAGACCCAAACTCACTTAAAGTGGAGTATGAGAAAAAGACTGAATTAATGTAATTTGAAAAAAGTTGGTTTAAGCCATCTTAAACAACCCGCTGGACGCTGACTGGCTTTCAAGTATTGTTCGCTGACAAGTGACTTGAAAGACTAACCTTTGTGCTGGTGCTAAGAGGATATAAGAAAAAAAACGTGAACTTTCAGCTCAATGCTATTTCTCCAAAAGACACTCTAAGCAAAGCGGTAGTGTGGTACACAAAAAATAAACTAAAAATGTACTGGAGTATAATGGTTTAGTAAGGGAATCAACTGTAACACTGTTATTGAAGTGAAAACAAACAGCAAAACACATTGTTCTTAGGGTAATAAAGCTGAAGACTGTATTAATGGCAAAGACCTTGGGATATGGCATTAGTACTAGGGGAATGAGCGTCACACAGCTTATTTTTATAAGGGTTGTATCCTGGCCTTCATGTATAATAGCAAAGACTCTAGATTAACTTGATTATTTAATGTATTTATTATAATTATTTTGCCTATTTGCACAGTCTGAACCCTGTGGAGGTTTACAAGTCAATTAAATCAAGTCAGCGATGTTTAAAATAATATCCAACTGACTGCTTTTCATTAGTAACCTGTTTTGAGATTTTTCTCCAAGATTACTTTTTCATCCAGTATTGGACCCATAATTTCAAATAAAAATAAAATAGCTAAACCAGAAAAAATCTCAAATTCAGCTATGCTTCCAGTTTGGCTGCTTTAGTCTTTAATTTGAAATTCACTTTGAGTTCTCACTTTAGAGAAATGCCCTATGGGTCTGAAATTTGGGGGGTCCTAAACTTTACAGGACAGGTCCCTAACATAAATCAAGAATAAGAGGTTTTTTTCAATGGGTTTTGCCATGTTGATTATTAAATGACTAAAGTATAATCTTAAAGGGATACTCTTATAACCAATACCACGTCATCTTAATTTAGGAGATCCAATGCATAGATGCTGCCCTTTTTAATCTGACAATGTAAATATTGCCATTTTTTAGAAACAGCAGTGTCATCATTTGTCCAAAATTATGTCTGAAGTGGCTGTCAGACAGACAGCTAATAGAGGCACTTCCTCAAGAAGACTTTCAATTTTAAAAAGCTGTTTATACTCAATATCACCGCTTATGACGTGTCTTCAGCATAAGGACACCAAATGCATTCAATAGTTCTGATAGAGATATATTAGATTCAGTGCATCTCTGTGAGAAGCATTGGATTGGCGGAGTGCAACAATTGTAGTGCATGCACCGTAGGTTTCCATTGTTTCTCTACGAGAAGCATCGGATTGAACAAAAGCCATCAGAATTCATCACTTCACTGGTGGAGGAGTGATTGCAGCAAGGAGGCTGCTTGTGCGCTGGATTACAGGTAAGTTTTATAGTGTTTGTCTGTGTGCTGGACTACAGGTTTGTTTTTTTACTCTTTTTGAAACTGAGGTGGCAGTAATCTGATGATATGAGGGAACACTGTAATAATAAAAATAAATATTAATATTTCTATTTGTAATGTTAGTTTGTTCTATTAAATAATAAAGATTTACAAATATCACAATTATTAACTATCCATAAATCTAATGGATTGTTTCATAACTATGTGCTAACTGCTAGCATCAACCTAGAACTGGCAAAATTGCTGAGGATTTATTGTGAGCTTTACTTACACACAACATGAATAATGATTTTCATTTGAAAGTGATTCACACTAGAAGCTTTTGAACTTTACTTGACCTTGACCCGGACAGAGACACAGAGACAATGCGGAACCTGCTTAACCACTGGCCTCATTTCCGGTAAGGGTGACCTTGAATAGTCCAATTTATATCCTTTAATAGGCGAATGATCTCAAAACATGCCCTATCCTCGATAGATTAAAAAAAAAAAAAAAAAGAAAAATAACAAGGACTCAAAAAAAATGAAACGTAAACTTTAAATGGCTTCCTATGAAATAAGTATTTAAAAATGATATGAAATTAACAAGCTTATTGTTATTGCTATTATCTACTTAATACATCACAGAGATTCACCAGTTAATAAATATGCAAATGCAGAATCCTAACTGTATGATTTAGTTCAGTTTCTAACGGATCATGACCTTTATGTATACACGTCAATTGCATTTTATATAGACGTATTATTTATAACACAAATATTAAGCAAGTACTATCAGAAAAACCCAGAGAACAAAAAAAAGTATTGAAAAAATAATTGCACGCCAGCGTAGATCGGTATCCTATGTTTCTATGAAGAAAATATATCAGAATGAGATTTTCTGAGTCCAAATGTTTGAAATTCCTTAAAAATAAGATTCAGAGACAAAATACATTTTAAATAGATTTTATATTCAATTTAATCTCCCATTCTGTAGGTGCCTTAATAAGGTGCTAAAATACCAGTGTCAAAGGGTTAGCAGAGGTTTATAGACTGTATAATGTTTGTGGTGATTTCTAGAAACCCATGTTGTTAAGCTATTGTCCATATGAATTCTTAACTGTATCTCAAATTAGTCACTACCACAAGGACTAAACATCTGATAAAAAGAGTTGAGCATGAACGAGAATCATGACACTAATAAATGAATGGACTTAGTTTTAGAAATATGTGAGGTTAAAAACATTTAGCGGCACTCATTTCCATTTGATTGTTATTAGTATGGCAAGATCAATCTCATGGCAGTGTGTAAGTAGTGGAGATATATTTATTTATAGATTCCAGATAAACATTATTGAGTATATATATAATTTTGATTCTACTGTACTGTAAATAAGTCTAGGGCAACATTCTATAATTTAGCATTTTTTTTATAAATCAAGCAATGGTTTAATACAAAGCATATTAGTAAATTTAAATTTGAACTATGGAATAAGATGGTTTTTTAACTTTATGAAATTGACTAAAAATGCATTGAGATTAGCATGAACCATTTCTTTCTTCTTTTGAAATTAAAGCTGAACAAAATATAATACAAAATATCTTGAACTACTAAAAACCTACAAATAAGATTTCAGATAAGTTTATACTATTGAAAAAAAGTGTGAAAATAATCATCTGTCCAGCTTTTAGTAGAAACACTAAATAAAAATAAACAAAATGACACATATATTCAGAAACACTATTCACTATAAGACTCATAAAAAGTTATTGAACAAAAAGTTTAATATTAGCCTACAATTGGATTTAATCTCAACTTGTTATGTATGAATTGTGTATAGCATATAGCATAATGACGCAATATGAATATAAAATATTTCCAATTTGTAATCATTTCAATGTGTGCCTACCATGGGTATGTATGCAGCATATATAAATTATTTGCCATCAAATGGATATACAAAATTACCTCCAGCCGCTTTAACAATAACGTTATTAAGCTGGTTCCTTTTTAGTGACTTTTACCCCAAACATCACTATAAAATGACCCACTGGACTCCGTCTGGGAAAATCTACATAAGGCTGGGCATTTTGGGATGAAGAGGTGAATTGTAGGTCATTTATTAAAGTCTTTAAGCAAACAGAGTGAATGTGTATGTAGTAAACTATTGTATGGGATTTGTGTCACCAGAAAATCCCAATGAATTTAAATAGAATTGAGGATTTCTTTTTCTTACAGCATACTTCTACAGGACAATGGTGGGTGTGCCTCATACAATAATATAATGGAAAAAAAAGAAAACATGTATAATTTAAAAGAAAAAAATGCTTAAAATGTTTTTCCTTAGTATTGCACTTTGTAGAGAATTTTCATACTGATCTATATATTTTTACAAAGTATCAAAACAAACTTTAGAGTGTGGTAACTAAAGAGCTAAGTACAGTGACTTTAAAACCAGCTTACAAGAGTTTATTTTTTTAGAACAAAATCTTCAGTTTGTTGGGTATATTTTTTTCATCTTTACTCTTTATCAAGCCGATTTTTAGCTCAACTCACTGTTTAATACCTAGACCCCAACCGTTTAACTTGAAAAAAATAAAAATAAAAAGACAATTATGCATAGTATATATAATCACAGAGGGAAGTTTTTTTAAATCAATATTTAGATAAAATTAGTATTTCACTTTCTTGAAACACAAGAAAAACATTAATTTCCCTGGTTTAAATTAAAGGTAAAATACCTTTATTATTTCATTTTTTTAAGCAAATATGAATTCCACTTCAGGGTTACAGGATTAGGTCCTGTTTTAAATACATCTTTATATTGTTTGCATTCTATAAATAAGTGCTATCTTTATTTATTTGTGGGAATATATGCAGCAGTATTTAATATTTTTTGTTACTATATGAAAATTAATTAGTAAAATGTATTTAAAATATTATCGTAATAGGCTTTATAAGAATATTGAATTTTACATTTAATGAATATGTTCATTATTCTTATATTGGTATAATCATTTTTATTCTTGCACTTATTCAATATTCAGTAATGTATGTGTATGCTCTATATTTGCCATAAATTGTTGATTTCATACAGTTTTTTATGTACAAATAACAGAAAAAAATACTATTTTCAATCTCAGCGATATCTTGTTCTCATATTTCAAAGGAACGAAATACAAATTACTTATGATTCATTCAGAATCATACGACAATTGACTTTAGTTTTAATAAAAGTAAGAATGTAAACATAGTTTGGGGTTTTGTTTGGTTGTTTGTGGTTGTGTTTGGCTGCTCTGGGGACATCTTTTTAGTGTAGTATTCTCACTGGGAGGATTATTAAGGCACTCATATTTTGAGCTACTGCTTGTTTGTAACAAATGAATAAATGAATCTGAATAATTTGCATTCATGCAATACAATTGCTTTTTAAATAGCCATATTGTCACTAATTAAAGTAGAACAACTTATAAAACAGCACTATAAGAGCATAACTGGAAAAAAAACATGTCCATCTGGAGTATATTGGAGATTTTTTGGAACTCACTTTTTTTTGGCCCACATTTATGAATAAACATTTGATTCTCAAGGCAACTATCAGGGTTATTTGCTAAAATTAGAATTTAGTGCCAATTCAAAGTGAATCTCAAATTTAAGCCACGAGTACTTGAAATGAAAGCATTGCCGACTTCAAGAATTTTTCTAGTCGGTTATTTTAACCTTAAATTTGAAATTCACTTTGAATTCACCTTGAATTCTCACTTTAGTGAATAAACCTGACCTTTTTTTTAATGATTAGTTCCTCTAACAGACAGATAAAGAAAAAGCGTTATATGTTTTATATGTAATATTTTTATGAAAATAGTTATAAGCTATATAAAATTAATTATAATGATTGGCATAGTTTTTGTGGCATTTCAAATCAGCAGTTAACGGAAGTATGATTTTGCATATTTACGCATAGATATCTGACAGTATACATTATACAGTGCAATAATCAAATCTGCAATTTATTATTATTTATTCTACCACAAGGATTAAAGCAGAGGCCTGGGTAATGGGAAATATTGATCATCAGAAAGAGAGCAATATTCCCTAGATTAAATAAAAAATTACTAAATATTCTCTTCTTATTTCTAAGTGTTTTTTTACTCTAAGCTTTTCTCAGACAGGGAACAGATCTACATTATAGGCTGGAAGTTTCTATATGAAAATTAATTAAATATAAAGATGATCTGATTTTTAATACAACAGGGTGCCTTTATTGTTCCAAAGTAGTTTATTTGTTTCCAAAATCATTCCATATCTTGTGACAACTACATGTTTAATGAATAAAAACCCAATATTGCACTGGTGACCCAGTAATCACCCTAGTACAAATGCTATACACTTCTATGTATCAATGATTACTAAAACAGAGTAAAAAAAATATTCTATTGAAGAACATAACAATTAAACTATATACACTAAGTTCTGCAACAGTAATCTGTTTTGGCTATTTCTACAAAGTGTTATTTATATAAGATCCAAGTATTAATATGCGATCTTGAGCAAGTAAATAAAGGGGCTTATTCACTAAAGGTTTGGGTCTATTTACTTGACATAATGATGTGGTTGACAGCTATGTTGAAAATTGCCAAAAAAATAATCATGTTGTATAAAGTTTCCAACTCAGAAAATGTGAAGATTTTTGCCAGATTTCTTATTTTGGCCTAAATCGTGCAAAGTATTTCTCAAGGCTTCACAACTTGCTATTATGTAAAGATACCTTAGCTATGGTGATTTCACTTTTGGAGTAAAAATTTAAAAAATTTAAAAACCTCTAGCTCAGCTATGCTCGGTATTTTAACTTTGTACAAAATTTAGCAGGATAGTTACCAAATCAAAAAAAAAGTACTTTTTAGTGAATAACCTCCACTCTACTGGTAAGAGACGCTTTCAGTTGAAACAGATGGCAAATTCGGCAACAGATGCAAGATTACATCTACCAGAGTACATCAAAAGTTATAATAAAATCATACTATCAACAAAGGCATTGGGTGAATTTGAAATATATGCAAAAAGCAACATTAACATGAAAATACATCTTAATAATTTTCAATCCAATAGAATGTGGTTTGCGATAAAATAACGTTATTGCACAGTAAAAACAATTCTAAAAAAAAAATTTGAATTTCTTTTCTAAAATTAAATTAATCCTAAAATTAAATCTTTGGTTACCCTTTTAAAATATAACATCACATTACACAAAGTGATACATTTATGGTTGAATTCAAACAGTACACAAAAAAGACAAGATATGAAACACCATAAAAAGGTGAACTGAGTAAAGAAATATGTGCAGGATATTTCTGATATATATTTTTTGAACATTTAAATTAAGTCATAATTCTGCATAGCAGATAGTTAAATCGACTGGAAAAATAAGGCATGTTAAAATATTACCAAATTCCTCTGACTCTTCAGAATTATGCTCTTAGGTATAAATAGAACATGTTTATGTTTTATAAGTTTTATTTTTTCCCTAGTTTGTGTTTTGGGGAATGGAACTGCAGAAAAAAAAGTATATGATAACTAATATGTTAATAAACTTCTGAATTGAGTTGACACAAATATTATTTCAATTTGTAGGAATTTTGATATGTTAAATATATTTTCTTATACTTAAAAAGTAGTTTAGTAATATCGCAGTTACAACATATTCAATGCTCATGAAATTGTCTTATCCTAATACACCGTAATTCTATTTAAGGTACCCAAAATGTGACACATACACCAATGCATCTAGGTGCTGGGGAAAGAACACCAGCTCTGTATGTTAGCAGCAGGTTTAAAAAGAAAAGTGGACAATTATTAACTCTCAAACAAATAAGTCACAAGAGATTCTCTATTGACAAGCTCTATACCAGGTGAACATAGTGAGAAAAGTGAGAAAAGTACCTCAAAAGAACAACTCCTTCCCAGCTTCTTTCTCCTACATTGTATACCAGAGCACATCAGATAAATCCTGTTTGTGCTATATACAACAAGGTTTAAATGTGGGAATTAAATGCATTTTGAACATTGAAGGACTCAGTTCGGTATCTCACACTGTGTTTTCATTTGTATCACAGAAGAAGGGAGTCACATGACACTGACCTCCAACAGAGTGATCACAATAGGAATGGCTCAATAAGCCGCAAAGCGAAATACTGGGCAAAACCAACTCTGATAAAAGATTGGGGAAAAAAAGACAACAGATCTAGTAGGGTTAATCTGTACTTTATGTTGAAAGGTGTCAAAATTGCCAAGAAAGTTGTAAAGTCAACAGGTAAAGAGACACGTTTAACCTAGGTACCTAAAGACACCAACGCAACTCTTTCGAACTCTAAAATGTCTTTTTTTTGGTATCACTTTTGTTAAGAAAGTAAAAAATGTAGAAAATACATTAGGAGGCTTGGTATTTCATTTAAAATACATAACAGATTACATTTTAGAAATGCACAATCTCAAGTTCAATTATTACAAAACTTGTGTATTGATTTATTTAACCGTACTTTCATGTTCAAATAACAGTAATTGTCAAAAAGAAAAATTAGAAAACATTTGTCCATTCAGGGTTATTTGCTAAACCAGAAACTATTAGAAATAAACAACGGAGTTGCGACTTTTAGGCCTACATGTTCGAGCTGGGTAAAATTGCTGAGTTTGGACAATTTGTTTCCAGTTTGGCTGCTGTGGTATACAGTTACAATTTTGTTGTTGTTTATTGAAAATGTCTGGTTTTGTGAAAACTCCCGTACATGTTGATGTTATCTAAAAGGATCTACCAACACATTAATTTTGAAATTCTGTGTAACCTAGGAACACGTAACCTTTCACCTGTGAGAGATAATGATAGAAAATAACACGTTATTACATCTATTAGTAATAGTGTAATCTATATTGGAGGGCAGTCAGATTAATTTTAAATTATATGTTCAAAAAGTGTGTAAACCATTCTACTCTAATAAAATTAATTTTATATTTTTAATAAATTTGCAATAGCATTTTCACCTTTTGAAACATAGTATAATTTAAAAATTGCTGATGAGGTCTTCCCAAAATGTGTTAGTACACACTGACATTGCATTGTTATTCTATATTTTCTTTTCTTATGTTTTTTTACATTTCTTAATAAAACCATTTAAAAATAAGCATTATTTTATTTCACTGCCAGTGTTGCCATGTTGTGAAGTGATATTTGCTCACATTCCAGGCACTCAATAGGTTACATATCTTTATTACAAAAAGCACTACAGGGACATAAATCCAGAACGGAAAGTCATATAATTTAATTCCATAGTTATTTGGTGTCGAGAACTGGAAGGTTTATCCGTCATATTTTAGTCATTAATTTTATAATTACATTTGCCTTTATTATTTGCACAGGTCGTGTCACTGTGGCATATGGTGTACAAAATAATTCCACAGAGCTTAGCTAGACTCCTGAGAATTTCTAATCCATTAGGAGGGAGTGAATGCAGCTAATTTAAGGGGAAGCAGAGTATAAATCCATATAGTCATGTGTGTCCTTTCTATTTACATTCCCTATATTGAGTTTATCGCTACAATAAAAAAAAAAACCCTTGGTAAAATTAGTTTTCAAGTTTGCACATTGACATATTAAATCTATGTTTTCATGTTTCTCATAGATTAGGAAATACAATGAAACTCAGCAAACAAAGTCACTTCCATATATTGACCTTTCTGGGATCCCTGTGTCTGTTATAAAAAGCCAACCTCTGCTTAGTTTGTGGCATTAGATTTACAAGAGGACGTTGTATCATTAAGTTATCTCTGCTTGGGTCCAGGAGTCTAGCTAAATCTGTAAACCCACAGCTAGTCTGCCCAAGCCATTACTTACACATGGGCTTTACTTATTTACAAAGAAATTAGGTGCCATTAAAGGACCACTCTAGGCACCCAGACCACTTCAGCTTAATGAAGTGGTCTGGGTGCCAGGTCCAGCTAGGGTTAACCCATTTTTTCATAAACATAGAATTTTATCTTTTGCATGGTTGAGATGATTGGCCAGGCGAAAAATGCTACAGGTTTTGTTGCTGAAGAAACACACACACACACACACACAAAACAACAACTTAATGTAGGCAAGGAATGAGGATTCTTCAGATAATTGCTAAACTGTGAAGTGATCAAGCCCTGTCCCATATGCAGTTGTGCTAACGGAAAAATAAGTTGTAAAGATGACTGTCAATGTGTGTTTGTCAGTAAGTGTGTGTCTGTCAGTGAATGTGTGTGTGTGTCAGTCAGTGTGTGTGTCAATGTGTGTTTGTCAGTATATGTCAGTATGTGTCAGTGAGTGTATGTTAGTGTGTGTCTGTCAGTGAGTATGTGTGTGTCTGTCAGTGATTATGTGTATCTGTCAGTGCATGTTTGTCAGTGATAATTTGTATGTCTATCAGTGTGTGTGTAAGTGTGTGTCTGCCAGTGATTGTGTGTTTTAGTGAGTATATGTCAGTGCATGTGTATCTGAGAGTGTGTATCTGAGAGTGTGTGTGTCTGTCAGTGAGTATGTGAGTATATGTCAGTATGTGTATCAGTGTGTTTCTGTCAGTGAGTGTATGTCAATGTTTATGTGTTAATGAGAATGTGTATCTGTCAGTGAAAGTTTGTGTTGGTTAAACAGTGTGTGCCTATGAGTGCATGTATGGGTCAGTGAGAGTGTGTGCTTAAAGGGATGAAAATGTTTAAAAAAAACATTTTCCTCAATTCATGTGATTTGTAGTAATATGCATATATATGTGTAAGTATGTATATATGTATGTGCATACACACAGTATAGATACACGTGCATGTCTTCTTAATAAATATTAAAGTGTACATAAAATAAGTGTATATTAAAGAACATTAAATTCCATTACTACAGCAGAAATGCTAGCAAATGTGTATATTTGAATTTAAAACTCTTTAAAAATATGGTCTCTCTCCTACTTGTCAATTAAATCCTTAACATTAGACCTGTGTGCCAATGTTACACAGATTCTAATGCCATAGTATAAATGAGAATAGCAAAACAATAAAGGACACCACACTCTCCTGGTCCACAGGATGCAACTGGGCCTGAGGTAAGTCAAACCTCACTTTATTTACAGTTGTGAGTAACAAATGACTGTCCAGGCAGTCAAGGTGAAACCAAGTTAAGCAGGTTTATTGGAGCAGAAAAAAAGCAATGTGTCGACCCAGTAGGGTCTTTCTCAAGCTGTGGCACACAGGGTCTAGTGGCACACATGGTCAAGAGTGACAGGCGGACCTCTTGCTCTCTGTCATGGTGTTATTCCCCAACAAGCACTTCCTGGGATGCATTTATGGCAGTGTACTGGAATTGTAGCCAATATGTTAGTGTCAGCACATGGAATTGCCATGCTTAGGGAAGTAACACCAAGCAGGGCCAATCACTCCACATTCACATGCAACTAAACCCTATATACAAACAATCAGCCAGCTGCACATATCTACACAATTACACAATCCTAATATACTATTAGGGCATAAAATGTACCTAAACATAGATGTAACGGTAGTTAACCGGTCCGCGTGCCGGGAGGGATCCATCGATCATGCCGCACGCGGCTCGAGCACTCCTGCCCCCAGGTGATCCGCATGCAGCTCGAATACTCCTGGCTCCTGGGGCCAGTACAGTATAGAGAATGCTGTTTGCATCGCGAGCACGTTCTTAAAGGGGAAATGGGAGCCTAACCTTGCGGTTGGCTCCCATTGGCCCACGTCATTCCGGCGCCCCCATTTACTCACATTTTGGGGCGATGACATGACTTGTACCAATCAAATTAAAAATAAAAGTATTTAGAATTACATGGCCCTAGATTCTGTGCCCTTTTGTGGGTTTTGTTTCCAGTACCCTTTAGTGCATTCCTTGTGATTAGTATTGTATTCTGGTATTGACCTTGGCTTTGTTTCCTGACTCTGAGTTTCTCTTTAATCCTTATACTCAGTGACAATAGTGTTGCACAACTAGGCTTTAAAATTCTAGAACATGTTTCTAACCCAGGCAGGGTGGTGGGGGAAGTAGAATTAAAATGTTAAAGAAACAAGAGCTTTTTTTGGATGCAATAAATTTATTCCTTTGAATTTAACAGCATAAACAGAGATTAGGATCTTAGTAGGATCTCTATCTTTTTATCCCTTTGTAGGCATGACCATTGAGAATATCACCAAGGAGCCTAGAGACCGTGGTTGACACTAGGGATCCACTGAAGTTAAAGTAAATCAGAAGTCACTATTTATGAACCTTCTGCAACATTGTGATACAATCTAAAATATAATAAGCAACGCATAATAAAATCTTGATGGAAATTGTTTATAATAGTGTTATAAAATGTATTAGCTGGTGAGATAATTATGTATATTATAAATATTAATTTGACATGTACTGAGATGGCTTGACATGTTCTGAAATGGCATCATGACTTATGAAAGTGTCTGTATATTTATATATATTTATATATCTATTTTTTTTCTGTGAGATGTAACAAAGCACTTTATTTTTTATAAGATGAAAAACATTTTTGACAAAATATGCATTTTTTTATTGATTAACTCTTTTGTATTAAATGTCAGTCATTATTATGGAAGGTGGTACCCCACCCTATTATGTAATTTATGGACTATTTATTAACATAGAGCGTACTCAAGTAACAGATTTAACAAAGGCTAAGTTGGCTGAAAAATTGCCTTTTTTCCTTGGGCTAGGGAGGGGCTTTACAATCTTTACTTTAATAATTATTTCAAAAACAAAAAACAAATGAATATTCACCTTTCTTTGTCCTTACATTGCAGGGAGAGCATTGGCACAATTAGATTCGTGGTGGTTCAGAGGGCTGCCTATCCACCAGGTACAGAGGAGCTGCACTTACACCGACCAACCCACACACACACAGACATGCACACATACACACACAGGGCCGCCACCAGAAATTTTGGGTCCCCTAACTCAGCTCAGGGTCTGGGCCCGCCTCCAATCCCGCCCA